TCTGAAAGGCATGGCTTGCAGATAACGAAAAATATGTTAAACCAGATATGTCAGAATGATTTCAAGATGAGACTTTAGTATCCCCCGAACACTATTCACAATCTCCTCACTGATTATATTAGGTCAGCAAGATCAACAATCTCTAGACGGATAAGCTTTACAAATCTGTAACTGAATGTATGATGAAGCTTTGAATCTTAATGGTGTCATGTCACCCAAATGCACCTTGGCATTTTGCTTAGAATGTGGAGGCAGAAGATACACAAATGTAAGTTACAGGTTTATATAGAATAGAGTGAAAATTGTATCATGAATGAATTCACTATTCTTTCAATTTGCATAGTTTTCATTCCTTCCCAGAACATGGATGTACGTTTTTGCCATTCAAGACAACCATATGCAAGAAATCCAGAGAAGAGTCTGATGGCACATATTTTTCTGCAGAGTTTTCTCTGAACTGCCCAGATGGGAGATCACGTTGGAGTCTTAATTTAAATGGCTCCCAAAGAAAAGGGATTGTGGATAAAGTTTAAAAAGTTTCTTTCTTCAAAACAGCTTGAGCCAATTTAAATTCCATTCTACTGAGGTTTTATTAAGGCATGGGCTTTTTTAGTTCTGGATCTAGCTATTGACTACAATCCAGAAAAAAATGGAAATGTGTAAGGTGCCATTGCATTTCTGTATGTTCCATGCCACTCAATCAATTTGTCGAAAACTGCAAATCATAATTTTGAAATATTTATCTTCCGCCGTCTATATAGACTAGTGCATGGTGGTTTACAATCCATAATTATAATGATCTCAATAAATTTTAAGCCTCATTTCAAGCAAATGCAGAAAAGCCCTGTCTTCTCTGATAGCTCTAAATTATAAATGATAGCAGCAACTAGATTCTAATGAAATCTTCCTTCCCTTATTTAATCAAGTTTCCACTGTGCATTTCTTTCAAAAAGATGTGTTAATTGGTTTGCACTCATCATGAGCAATAGTACCTTAACCCAAACTGTTAAGGTTGTAAGATATAGGATGTTTGACAAGGATAACAATGATTCGGTTTAGATTTAATGACACAAGCAAGACCAAATAAATGTAAGGGCTACTATACATAGTTTCTTTCTTACAAGAGTTGTAAACCAAAATAGAACAAGGTTATCACAGAATAAATCTTTCACCATTTTTGAGGAGCGCTGTAATTGGGGGGGAAAAGGCATACTTAAAGATGGAGGGAATAGAGAATACACATCAACGTATGCAACCAAAAGAACTTTATAAAAGGGATGTGAGCACCATGTCCACCCAAACATCTTTCCCAATCCACAATACAAATGAATCCCCAGCTTGCTTTTCTCAACATGTATTTATTTATATGTAGTTATTAAAATAATTTATGTAGTTATCCGCCCAATTCACAAGTAATGACTCTGGGTAGCTAACAAAGAGTTAAAAACATCCAAACAAATTAGCTAATAAAAATGTACCACAATAAAGCACAAAACAATGCCAAGGAACAAAACAAACTTATTCCAATTCCCATGCTGTTATAGGATAGGTTTATCCAATACTCTAGTCCAACGTTGAGGAGAGAAAAAAAGAATTTTAGAAAAACTTGTTGGCTTGTTACCTTATCAACTGTGACTGTTTTTCACATTTATGACTGTTGCAGCATCCCCAGATTCACATAATCAAAATTCGGACACTTGGCAACTGGCATGTATTTATTATTATTTTATTAATTTATTTTATTAAATTTCTATACCGCCCTTCTCCCGAAGGACTCAGGGCGGTGAACAGCCAGAAGATAAAACACAGGAAATACAAAATCTAAAATAAATTAAAACAAATTAAATAATTTAGGCTGAATTTTAAAATACCCCATAATTAAACAGATTAAAAATTTATGTTTAAAATTTAAATTTAAAAGAGGAGATGATTTAGGCCAGGCCAGCTTGATGAAATAAAAACGTTTTAAGCGCGCGACGGAAGGTGCGAAGATCCGGGATCCTCCGTATCTCCGGGGGGAGCTCGTTCCAGATCGTAGGTGCCCCCACAGAGAAGGCTCTCCCCCTGGGGGCCGCCAGCCGACATTGTTTGGCCGACGGCACCCGGAGGAGCCCCTCTCTATGGGAACGTACTGGCCGGTGGGAGGCTATTGGTGGTCGCAGGCGGTCCTGTAGATAACCAGGTCCTAAGCCATGGAGCGCTTTAAAGGTAGTAACCAAAACCTTGAAGCGCACTCGGAAGACCACCGGGAGCCAGTGCAGCTCGCGCAGGAGAGGTGTTACATGGGAGCTCCATGTTGCTCCCATAACCACCCGCGCAGCCGCACTCTGCACCAGTTGGAGCCTCCGAGTGCACCTCAAGGGGAGCCCCATGTAGAGAGCGTTACAATAGTCCAGACGAGAGGTGATGAGGGCATGAGTGACTGTGTGTAGGGAGTCCCGATCTAAAAAGGGACGCAACTGGCGGATCAGGCGAACCTGATGAAAAATCCTCCTGGTCACGGTCGTCAAGTGATCTTCTAAAGACAGCCGTGAATCCAGGAGGATGCCCAAGTTGCGAGCCCTTTCCGTGGGGGCCAATGATTCACCCCCAATAGTCAGCGATGGCACCAGCTGACTATATCGGGACGTCGGAAACCACAGCCACTCAGTCTTGGATGGGTTGAGCCTGTGCCTGTTCCTCCCCATCCAGATCCGTACGGCCTCCAGGCACCGGGACATCACTTCAGGGGCATCGTTGGGGTGGTCCGGGGTGGAGATGTACAGCTGGGTGTCGTCAGCGTACTGATGGTACTTCACCCCGAAACCACGGATAATCTCGCCCAGCGGCTTTACATAAATGTTGAACAAAAGGGGTGAGAGGACCGATCCCTGTGGCACCCCACATATGAGGGGCCTCGGGGTCGACCTCTGCCCCCCTGTCAACACAGACTGTGACCGGTCAGAGAGAAAGGAGAACCACCATAATACGGTGCCTCCCACCCCCAGCTCTTCCAACCGGTGCAGCATGATACCATGGTCGATGGTATCAAAAGCCGCTGAGAGATCTAACAGGACCAGGACAGACCCCTGTCCCGAGCCCTCCAGAGATCATCAACCAACGCGACCAATGTCGTTTCCGTGCTGTACCCAGGCCTGAAACCTGACTGGAACGGATCTAGATACGACGTTTCATCCAGGTACTGGGGAAGCTGTCGCGCAACCACACTCTCAACAACCTTCGCAACGAAGCGAAGGTTGGAGACTGGACGATAATTATTTATGACAATGACACTTTCCCAGGTTCATGTGGACACCATTTCTAACCTTCCCAGCTGGCATCTCACAAGCAAAGTCAATGGGGGAAGCCAGATTTGCTTAATGACTTCATGATTCATTTAACCACTGCAGTGATTTGCTTAGCAAGTGTGGCAAAAAAAGGAACTTAAAATGGGGCAAAACTCACTTAATAACTGCCTTGCTTAGCCGTGGAAATTTTGGGCTCAACTGTGGCCAAATGTCAAGGACTACCCGTATAGTGGCCCCAGATTGTAAATAGAAAGAATTGTAATCCCAAGTGGCAAAGGACATGTTTATAAGCGTCATTGTTCTACTAAAGTACAAATACTATCAGTATCTAATCTATCTGACCTCTTTTAATAATAGAAAAAGTCTTTTTGTAAGACCTTAAAAACCTTAAGGTGTGCAGGGACCCATTTGTTGGTTAATTTAATGGTAGGTGGCATATTCCTGGCTACTCTGCTTTTTAATTATTGTATTCTGTATCTCTGATTTACTTGCAAGCTTTTCTATTTTTCATATATTTTAGCAGAGCTTATTTGAATGTTGCAGACCCTTCCAAGGTAGTTGCCTTTGTCTGCAAAGGAACAAACAGCATACCTTTGTATATGTGGTAGGAAGTACTGCCTTTCAATTGCTGTTGACTTCCTGATTTTTTGTTTTTTAACTCTCAGGAGTTTGGTTTGCAGGGAAAGGGGTGAACCCTTTTCACCTTTAGTGTTTCATGTATCTGTAATGGCAGTTTAGTAGAACTCTGTTGAGTGGATGTAAAGCAGACATAAATCATTATCTAGCCCAAACTTTACATTTTTTCAGAACATACGGCAATACCTGCACTGCAGTAGCTCATTACAGGTATTCTGATTTGTTTTGGTATCTCTAATTATTTCATGTATAATTCATGCACTTGGATAAACGAACAGTGTAAAATCAGTTACAAGAAATGGCACATAGACAGCTAAAATCTTGATATTGTATCTAGCAAATGAAAGTAATATTTTATATATCTGGGCAGGTTAGTCTAAAATAAGGGAGCGATCCTAAAGCTCTCCTACTATTGCTAACAACTATCGCTTCTAGCATGCTAGTGGAAAGATTCAGCAACATCTAGTGGCAACTGGTCCTTAAAATATAACACCAAAAGAACAGGGGCCTGTTAGGCCATGGGAGACTCATTATTGTTTTAGAATGATTTAATAGCAGCTGGTTAGATAGATGCATAGAAAAATGGGGCAGGGGGACCGATGACTTATATGTCTTTTACCAGTCAAACAGGCAAATTCTCACTTTAACCATTATTTGAGAGTAACCTTTTTTCAGTTTACAGGAAGTACAAGTAAAAGCAGTCCTTGAGGGGAAATGCCTGCCCTAATAGCACAAGCACTTAGACTTATATACAGCTTCATAGTGCTTTACAGCACCCTCTATAAGCGATTTACAAATGGCAGCATATTGCCCACAACAATCTGGGCCTCATTTTACCAGCCTTGGAAGGATGGAAGGCTGAGTCAACTTCGGGCCCCGTCAGAATCGAACTCCTGGTTATGGGCAGAGTCAGCCTGCAATACCGCATTCTAACCACTGTGCCACCATGGATCTAATATCGTAGATCTGTGTAAGATAGTTCTTCTTCCTGGTCCAGTACTGCAACAACGCAGAGTCCATTTGGATAGGAGCAATGGTTAAAACAGTTCAAGTAACTTTTAATACCGTTTCTCCCAGCAGCTGCAACAGAAGAACCAGAGGTTATTCCTGACCCAGCCAAGCAGACTGACCGTGTAGTGAAAATAGCGGGAATAAGTGCTGGAATCCTTGTCTTTATTCTCATCCTCCTCCTTGTCATATTAATTGTCAAAAAAAGGTAAGTATGGTAAATTTGCCATTTTCTTTTTGTTCAAATAAATGATAAGAAATTTGTTCACAGTTCATTGTAGAAGAATGGTAGTAGGGAGAGCATCTTATCACAAACAGAAGGTATTTCGTAAAGTCAGAAACCAATATTCTACTGTAAAAATCAATTTATTTATTTTTTTTTTAGTATTGAGTTATGCAAACTGTAAAGACAGTGACCGGTGAAATTGAAATAATACCTTTTTACCTTCAGAACATTTCTTGTATTTTATTAGGGTTAAGCTGAACTTGCTGTTTCAATTAGCCCTCCTTATTCTCTTGTATTGTGAAATGTCTGGCCTACTTATCTTGGAAAATATTTTACAGGCTATGTTACCTTCATTTGTATTTTTATAAGTGATGAAAGTTATAGTTAAAATCACATTACCTTATCATAAATTTTCCATTGGGCTATATAGGCCTGCAGACCTTAAAATGCAAAAGGATATTAAATGGTGTCTCATTTCTTTTTAAAAAAAAAAATCTTTGCAATATCAAAGTAACAACAAAAATCAATAGCACCACCTTCTGGAAGTAGAAGTAATTCTGAAAGGAAAAAAAATCTATAATTTTATTTTTTTTAAACACACTTTATTGGTAAGTTTCAAACACTTTGTTAATTGACACACATTTTCAGAATCAACATATATGACTTAACGAGTAGCTTTCAGATCCTTTTTCCTTGCCGTTTCTATTTCTCTCACGCATCTGAATGAGCAAAATGGCTGCTTAATATGAAGCTGTTTATCACGTCACGTGATTTGTTCCATCTAGCCTAGGACTGATGGGACAGAGAGCTAGTTCTTTAAAATATCACTTAAAAGTCTCTCACATCACCTGCCACTTGTGATCCCCTTAAATGGAGAATGATAAAAATCATATGCAGACTTTATGAATTCAGACTATGTTGTTCTATCACTGAGCTACGGATGTCTTGCTTCAGAGATCAGTTGGAAAATTGTTGTTTTTATTCTAGGCAAGGAAGGAATAAAAATAGGGGTATTTTTGTATCTCTTATCTATGTTAAAGTGAAATGAATTTTCTGTTTCAGTTTTCCAAGTAGGGAAAAAAACTAGACACTGTGCCTAAAAATCATATTTATGTCTTAATGGTTTCCAATAGATTTTTTTTTAATGTATTGCCTTTTTACAATGATTCCCCTGGAGATATATAACATGGAGGAGAAACGTCTGCATTAGAACCCTTAGGTATGCTAATAGTGTTTTGTGTTAGTTAGACACATATGTGATTTCTCCCAATAGTGCTTTCACTTTTTTTTTTCCTGTTGTGTACCTCTGTGCTTAAAAAGAAATGCTACAAACCAGTTCATAGTAAAAAAATAATGAGAAATCCACTTGTGCAAATTAAGGGGCAGATCAGTAAGTAGCTGTCTTGCTTTTTAGCTGGAAGTTCTCCTTGACAAACGATGAAGAAATGTGATCGCCAGAACTGTAAAGACAGGCCAGTGAGAAATGTCCTCAGAATATCAGATAGCCAACAGCTGCTCCTGGGGATGTGACACTTCCTTACAAACCTATCATAATGTCAGCACTCATGCTGACATTTACACCAAACTATTAGACCTTTCTGTGAGGCTAACCTGTGATCAATTATAATGGCTTTTCCACTAGCAACACTGAGTACACTGTTAACTTGTATAAGTTTTACAGCTGCTTATATAGAATAATTGGGCCAGTAGAGTAAACATTAATGGTCATGGAGATACAGATCTCATACTCTGGGGAAAAAATACGGTGAAAAAGGGAAACTCAATGACTTGGGGAATATATATATATGTGTGTATGTGTGTGTGTATATGTATGTATGTATGTATGTATGTATGTATGCATGCAAGTTTTGGTGTATTCGGGTCTTTTCCCGTGTAAGATTGAGAGTATCTTGGCGACGTTTCGATGAGGTCTCACTCGTCATCTTCAGGCTGGTGTCTTCGGCTTCGTGCTTGTGCGAGGAAAGGATACTCTCAATCTTCCACGGGAAAAGACCCGAATACACCAAAACTTACATACACACATACATACATACATACGTTTATATGAGGTTCCCCTTTGAGTTTTCCTTTAAGTCCAGCTCAAAAAAATGGGCTAGACATTTTGCAATTCACTTTGCTTAATCCTGGGAAACATCTCTGTCTTAGAGGTTGGTAAACTTGGATTCACCATCATTCTGGTGAATTTCAGCTATGATCCACAGAAAGTTTTCAGTTCTCATTTCATTTCCAGTAGGGAGAACACCTCAATGCTGTTACAAACTACACTTTGCAGAATTAGTTTGTCAACAGTTCCTTAAATTATGTTGGAGGAGTTATTTTGCAGGGGGTGGAGCGAGGGTTTCTTCCTATTTGAGGAAATCAATTTCAGTGGAGGAGTATTATTAGATGCACGGTTCATTACCCAATCTAGTTCATCAGCATCTCATGTTTAATTTGCATGACATTTTCATAGCTATGCTCCACCTTTCCTAATTTATCATGTCATTAATAAGTTTGCTGACCCTGCAGTGTGTGAACCTTTATCGCATTGATCTATTTCATAATGTGTAAGAATTTTCTGATGAACTCTATTAATTTAGATTAAAAGGAGATGGATGGAAACCTTTCCCGTTTGTTACATTAAATAGATAGCAATTCTTTGTCTAGAATTTTCACAGAAGTATTATTATTGGAGCATGTTAATTGACCCTGAAAGCCCCACATTTCAATTTCTTATTCCAGATGGATTTAGATCTATTTGGTATTGGATTCACATGTTTCTCTATCATAAATAAATATTTATGATAAAATAAATAAATAAATAACTATAATAAATAAATATTATAGATAAACTAACTATAACTAACTATAATAAAAGGTAAAAAATAAAGGAATCCCTGTAAGTTTTACTCTGCTAACAGTAGCAGAGTTTAGGGACAGTATTCAACTGTTTCTTCAAGCCATTGAGCCAACGCTGTTTGAAGATATTTCTGTGAACATATGGCCAGCAGGACATCACGCCATAGCACAAAGCATACGGCAAAACACGGATCATTGTTACCTTCCTGCCAAAGTAGTACCTATTTATCTATTTGCATTTACATGTTTTCGAACTACTAGGTTGGCAGAAGCTGAGGCACATGGCGGGAGCTCCCACTCTCACGTGGTGGTAGGACTCAAACCACCAGAGTACAGACTTTCTCCAACATATTTTAAGCCATTGAGCCACCGTGCCTCCACTAACTGTAGTATATTGCTACAAAATTCTTCAACACCAAAACCTGAAACATTGTTAAATTAGGTAGCAATTTTGATCTGATTCAATTTTTTAAAATGAGGATAACTAGTCTAATAGAAAAGCCACTCGGTTTCTTTCTTCCCTTCCAAAATAAGCAGTAAACAGACATCTTTACACAACACCAGGATACAGAAAATAGTGAAAAGGTTCAGCCAGATGTGCATTACAGGGAGCATTGCTAACTAGAGCCCTTCTTTACTTGATCATACCATTCCATAGTAGCCCCTTTCACCTAAATCTGGTAAAAATTAGCTTGCATAAATGAAAGAAATAATTCATCCTCCTTGAATGTTTAGCTGCCACCATCCTTAGCTTTGTCTGTTGTTGGAAGTCAAATCTACAGGGGTTTTCACAAGAAAAGTGAGCATGTGGTCATATGGCTAGTACACTACCTAGCTTGACTCTTGGATATCCTTCAAGATCACTTCCCCAGTGAAAAGCCATTTGGAGATGGAGATTGAGATAGATAATGGATAAGTAAGTATCCAATAAGCCATTTGTGTGACCAGCTCCCCATTGGATTCTTACACAGGTTATAATGATGTACAGTACTTAACTTTACATGGAACTACAGCCAAAAAACCTAGCATCTTTTATAGCATAAGTGGAGATTTGAATCCATTTACATTACTAACATTTCCTACCTTGCCCCACATATACATAAGCATATATTTTCTTACCTTAGTTTCAACCCATTGGTTCCTGTGATACTTGATTCTTGCATGGAGCTCTTTCTTTCCCTTCTGACTAGAACTGATATCACTGGTCAAAAGTATCCATCCAGGCCTCCATTTTAATTGGGTTCTTAATGAATCCATTCTCCCGTGAATTAGGGAAACATGTCTTATATTTTTGCTGAATAAAGAAATGTTTCTTTATATACATAGCAGCACGTAAATTCAGTGGTGTTAGAAAAGTGCTTAGTGTATTCCAGGTGCTATAGAATAATTATATTGATTATAATTCTGTGCATACATATTAGAGATTCCATTATGTGGTATCCCTTTTGATACAGCAACATTTTAGTAAACTCAGAAAAATGCTTCTGAATTTCACACAGATTTAACAGTTCTAATCTTGCATAGATTTTCCAAAATTTGGGGGGAAACATTGATTGGTAAGCACTTGTGTATGATTTCACAAACCAGAGATGTCCTTATGCTTTGCCTTATCATTTTGTGCAGATTTTGAAGTGGATGGAAACTCTATTAGTTACTATAGAGTTTTACAAAGTTATACAGCTGAGTTTTAAGAAAAGGGATACTGCATCTCTTGAGTAGCAAATACTGTATTATTTAACCATTGTTGAAATATTTCCAAATGTACATCATCTCCTTCCATTTGTTTTATTTCTCATTTTTGAAGCTAAGTATGCCTATATCAGTATTTTCAGTTTGAAGATTTAAAAACAGCAGCTGTGTGTGTATATATGGGTTTAATATACACACCCTTCTACTGTAGAATGCCAGAGCACAGTTCATTGGCTGCATTCATACATAATACTAAGCCTCTGTTCTGGTTGTCTTTTTAATTCCCTCCCTCCCCGCCCCCCTTTTTTTTTTTTTTGGATGAGCTATAGTTGCCTGGTTCGCACATAACACAAATGCCATAATGACTTTATTTGCACATTATTCATCTGAAAACCTATAAAAACATTATGGCTTAGCAAAAATTTGCGCCTGTATACCTGTACGTAATTGTCTTACAGTAGTTGTTGGTTAACCTGTCTCCGCCACTACTAGCCTTTGAGTTTGTAACTGAAAGCTAAAAGAGAGAAGAAGGAAAGTAAACTTTAGAGCACAAGAACTGTACACAGCTGTTTTGTATTTCATAGCATTTAGATAGTTACCAGTCATCCCATTTATGCTGCATGCCGAACTAACATAACCCAATTTGGTTTCCATTTTTTTTTTCTGCAATAAATGAAGTGTTAGCATGTCATTTTTCTCTAGTGAACTCCCTCTGTTATTGAAATCTTTTTTTTTATATGCTAACATGTTTTTTTTTTAATTGCATGGCTCTGTAAGGCTAATCAGTGCATGAGCAAGATTGTAATGCTAACAAAGAAAACATGATTTTTTAATTCTTTTTTTTTTTTTGAAACGCACATTTCTCTGCTTTATTGAATGTGACAGAGTCACGCTTTTCATTCACCATTGCTTCTTTTTTCCCACTGTCTGTGATTTGCTTGCCAGGAGGAGCTACTATTCTTACTCCTACTACCTGTAAGTAGAAATGGGTGACTTTACTTCTTTATATGTTTTGAAGATGCAGTATCCCTTTTCGTAAAAAAAAAAAAAAAAAAAAGTCTAGAAATAGGATTAATATTTCACTAAAATTTCCCATATCATTTTGACAGTTTTTATGGAGCCACATATAATTTTAGGGGGGGGGTGTTGCTTTATTTTTTAAAGGTTATTGTATTCTAATTGGATGTAGGCTACCCACACATAGACCCTTTTATTAAATATATGTCCACTGTGTATTTTTATTCTAAAATCAAGCTTGAGCTCCATCCTGTGTAGACTTAGGTATCTAAACATTATCTTTTGAATGAGAAGGTTGTAACTCCATCTTATTTTAGGGAATTGATAAGGAGCATACTCATTTACTCAAAAGGATTTACCATCCAAAAAGGAAACAAATGACTATATCCATCTCCAGCAGTAGAATCCTTTGTGTTGCACAATGGGAAGTGTGATTCCTATTTTACTCACTGGGAGAATTAGATCCAACTGGTCACCTTTTGGTAATATTTGCTACATAAAAATGAACATATTTTCTGCCTCAGTTCCTTTTCCTTTAACATTCCTCTTCAATTGCTGGCTGCTTTTACCTTTTCTCCTAGGCTGTAAAAATATCCTCTGTTTAATCCAACTCTGTAGCTTGAAGTAAATACAGGTAGTCCTCAGCCACAATTGAGTCCAAAACATTTGTTGCTAAGTGAAACATTTGTTCAGTGAATGCTGTCCCATTTTACATCCTTTTGAGCCACCGTTGTTAAGTGAATCACTGCAGTTGTTAAATTAGTAACAGGGTTGTTAAGTGAATCTGGCTTCCCCGTTGACTTTGCTTATAAGAAGATTACAAAAGGGGATCATGTAACACACACACACGCCCGGACACTGCAACCGTCATAAATAGGAATCAGTTCCAAGTGTCTGAATTTTGATCACGTGACCATGGGTATGCTGCAATGGTTGTAAGGTTGAAAAGCGGTCATAAGTCACTTTTTCAGTGCTGCTGTAACTTTGAATGATCACTAAATGAACTGTTGTAAGTCGAGGACTACCTGTATAGTAGTACAAGGAAGTGGCAAGTTATTTTCTATTTTCTTACATCTCTTTGCTCCCAACCACCATAATGTTCAGGAAATGGAAAATAAATTCATTCATCCCTTCTGATTAAGACCTTTTCCCAAAATAATAGCTGGAAATAGTTACAAGATAATGGAAGGTCTGGAGCAATTTTTATATGTTGAAATTTACCATATTTAGTATGGCAAATATGCTCAAAGTGCAGTAAAAAGTGTAGTTTTATTAATAAACCTGGTTAATTAGTTTATGAGTTCTAAAATGACTTTGGCTAATTAATAGAGAATAAGATTATCCAATATAATAAAACATGATAACAATATATGACTATCATCCATTGGCTGGGCTGTCACTGCTTAATCACTAAGGAATGCTGATTTTTCTTTTCTCTAAAGAATCAGGACCTTTGGGTATATCAAAATATAGTTTATGTTCCAGCTTGAATATCTGATTGTTGCTATTTTGAAAAGATTTGTCATAGGCAGAATTTAAGCAAAATTAAGTTAAATATGCCTACCGTATAAGGCATGCACCAGCTTGCATTGCAATAAAGCTTTCTTTGGCAAATAAATAGTAATCATTTGCCAAACAGAATAAATTGTGGATTTAATGCATTAATAGGGAAAAGGTCGTGTTGGTTTAAAGGAGAATGTGCATAGAATCTAAATGTGATTTTAGGATGTGTATTTTACAAATGCTAAAAATACCAAATGGGCTAAATGCAAAAACAGATACATTTTGTCCATGGCATCCAAAATCTACTAAGTCAAAGTCTTAGTTAAAGCAAAGTTATCAAAGATTTACTTAGAGACCGTTTCTTATTTTTTCGTTAAAAGGAAACCTAACTTAACGTCTGTAGACTGATGCCCTTTAGTTTATTATGAAAAATTGTAATTCCCTTTTTAAATAACAATTTGCACAGCTAGAAGTAATTAAATATGTACATAGGATATATCTTCCCTCTCACTAGGACTCTTTTTGAAGTAGTTCTGTACATGTGTGCAGAAGAATTATGTCACAACTAATAATACTCTTCTATACTTAGTATCTAAAGAGTACTTAACTCTCCTGTGATGCCCGATGATTTCAGGGATGCGTTAGTCTTGTTTTCTTAGAAACAATATGGAAGTGGTTTGTCATTCTTTATTTCCATTATATTTTTTTGCATTTCTGAGTCTAGCTTATAGTAATTCCCATTCTGTACATAGTCATCCAAGTACCAGCAGGTCCATTATTTCAGAATCAGACAAAAACGATGCTGACATATGTTCAGCCTTCCTCAGCTGACTGTGCTGAAGAGCTGAAGAGCCGAAGAGCCAATGGTACATGGAGTTACTTTTTGTTAAAATTAGAGAGTTTTGGGGGGAATACTATGGTTCGGGGAATACTATTGCTGAATCCGAGGATTTGTTTCTACAAAACCACATTATTTGGATTTTCAGGAATTTATTATTTTTATTAAAATAATTATTAAAAATAATTCATTGAAATATTTTCAAGTTGCAAGGTTGATTATAAAAAATATAGAGATAAAAACTTTTATAGTTCCTTTAATTGGAGAGGCACAAAATTTTTCAGGCTGAGGAACATACTTCATGTTTTTTTATTGGTGGCTAACAGTTCACATTCCAGAAAGTCAATACCGATAATATAGGATCCAAATTTGATTTAATCTGACATCGTCACATGAGTTACAGTTCACAAACATTTATGCCTTTTAATTAAAATTGTTAATATGAAAAGGTGCTAGCAGATGGTTTTGGACTATCATAGACTCACATGGCTCTCCTCCATGTAAAAGTATATACACAATGTATATGTATACACACAAACAAAATAACATTCAATTTCATAGGCATCTTACAAGAAGGCTTCTTTGCAGCCAAGTTTTTCAGTTTGTGTATCTCTTTAAAATAATAACTTTTTGTCATGATACCTAGTGATATAAAAATATTCATATTGTATGTGTGCTTGTATGTATCTATCCAAAATCAAATTTCTAGATCTTTCTATTACTTTCAGTTATTTTCTGTTTGTGACTGCCACAGTACTTTCACCTAAGAATAGATGAGGGTTGGAAGTGTTGGATAGTTTTTCCCCCAACAATGGAGAAATCAACCATTTTTATTAGCATGTTTCTTTTTCTGCCCCAGCAGTCCTTGGGGAGGATTCTAGGATTCAAAATAGAGCTGCATCAGCAACTCATTAGACCTAATTGGAATGTTTGCAGAACATTCTCAGTAACTAACAGCAAACCTGAGTTGAACATTAATCATCTGTTTCATTCCTTCTCCACATTTTTAGCATTACCCACTGTTCTGTCAGATGAATAATTGTGCAACTCGAAAGTTTGAACGTACACTATCTTAAGGAAGGTGTTGTTGTTTATTATTATAACATAGATTATTGACTGTTGAATGACAAACTTTGTGTACTTTCCTTTTCCTGGCAACCATCACTTCAGAAATCATGTGGAGAAATTCCCTAGATCTGCTGTGGCCTTTTCATAGAAATTAACTTTTTCATGTCTTTGCTTCTTGAAGACTGAATGCTGTTGACTTTTTGCCTTGCTCTATCCAGAAAGTTAGTTCAGTCCTTACTTTAGTTGAATCCAGGGGTGAAATCCAGCAGGTTCTGACAGGTTCCGGAGAACCAGTAGTGGAAATTTTGAATAGTTCGGAGAACTGGCAAATACTCTGGCCCCAGAGTGGGGTGGGAATGGAGAATTTGCACTATCCTTCCCCTGTCACACCCACCAAGCCATGCCCACCAAGCTACACCACACCCACCAAGCCACGCCCACAGATCTGGTAGTAAAAAAAATTGGATTTCACCATTGGTTGAATCTCAGAACTCCACTTCAAATCCTGGAGGATTTTTGTGAAGGTTTATAAATTGGTGCTTCAGAAGAGGGTTTAGTAAAATGTAACTGGTGGTTCCTCCTCCTCTCCTCCTCCTCCTCCTCCTCCTCCTCCTCCTCCTCCTCCTCCTCCTCCTCCTCCTCCTCCTCCTTCTTTTTCTTCTTCCCTAGAGGGACATTAAGATTGAATACTTCAATTGAAAACTTTAGTGTCAAGGATGGTAAAGCTATCAGAACAATAAATGCCTGGACAAAGTGCAAAATTCAAAGATAGCAATAAATTGCCTGTATTTCAATTCATGACATTTCATTTTTACACTTGTAAAAAGACCTTGATAGCTACAGCTTTAAATATAATCTGCAACCATTATTAGGGCAAAGTGTCTCAAAGCATGTGTTAAAACAATAAAAACAAGCTTATTCGGGACCTGTAAACATACAAGCATGTAGAAATTTTCTGATTTTCTGCTTTGTAGATTATATGCACACAACAAGACAGTAACTGAAACTTGTAACAATCACCATCAGTTTTACCATTATTTTCCCCACCCATTCAAGAGCTATAGAGATTTAACCATAGAGCAATTATTTTAAAGCTGGATCTTGCTAGTGTTTCGATGAGCAATTACCAGGAAATCCAAGGACTGTAAACTAGACTAGGAAATGAAATGAACATCCTAGAAGAAGAAAAAATAAAAAAGCACTTCAGTAATTTGCCAAAAAGAATGGAGATATCCATATGGCCACAAGAAGTTGGATTTTACTAATATATCTTAAAGTCTATCAGAATTTAACTGTACAGATGGTTCTTGATTTATAAACCACAATTGAGCCCAAAATTTATGTTGCTAAGCAAGACAATTATTAAGTGAATTTTGCCTCGTTTTTTTTTAAATCTTCCTTGCCAGAGTTGTTAAGTGAATCATTGCAATTGTTAAGTTAGTTACACGGTTGTCAAGCTAATTTGACAGTCACTAAATGAGCTGTTATAAGTCAAGGACTACCTATACAGAGGTTCCTTTTTTAATGGGACTATTATGTAGAGGGAAAACAAGCATTTTCTCCTATCTCTTCTGTATGGAACAATTAGAATCTGTTCTCACCATCAGCATGCCACTCATTAGTTCATCTTCCATGTTTTCAAATCTGGTAGGACACCTATCATTGGAGAGAGGGAGTGTTTGTTTTTCTCCTAAAAATTCATTAGTACAATACTTTATTTTCCTTTTTTCCCCCCTATCTCCGCTACATTTTATTTTTACTTATCAGTTTCCTTCCATGCCAGTAGATGTCTATGGAGATTCTCAGTCATCCAGGTCATGGTTGTCCCAAAGGAATTTTTCAAAAGGGAACTGGACTATCTGGTTTTTCTTTGATGACATTTCGCTTCCCATCCAAGAAGCTTCTACAGCTCTCAAGAAGCTTTTTGGATGAGAAGCGAAACATCTTCAGAGAAAAACCAGAAAGTCCAATTGCCTCTTGAAAAAGCACCTTTAGGATCCTAGTGGATAAATTCCATCTGAATGAAGCTGTAGTCACCAAGGACAGTCTCTTTGCCCAATTTCTTTAAGCTACTCAGTAGAAAACAACTATTCTCATTAAGATGTCTGGTTTTCAGGCTAATGTGGTTCTTTTTCAACATACAGTCCTCCCAGCTCCCAGCTTCATTCTCTGTTTCTTCTTGGTATGGGGTGGAGGAAAGCATCCTCTGTTTGTATGTGTTTACATGCACAGTTTTGGTGAGACAGCTTTTCTTAATATTGCCATTTTACCTTTGGTTAAACTGATATTTTTTACTTTAAGGGAGCAGATTCTTGGTAGCACCTGCAGCATTTGATCATCTTTTGTGAGAAACAAAATGCTAGATTAAGGTGACCTTGGCTAGTCTTATGTTCTTAGATAAGTACTTTGGCCAAATTATTTGTTTTTGAGCTTCATCAGTTTTCTTTCTAAGAGAGGGAGATATACTTTGTGTTGGGAGGTCAAACGAAGAAATATAGGATTTAGTGTTCAATCTTTTTTTTTATTTGTCTTTTTCTGAGGAAAAAAAAGTTGTATTTTGTTATTGAGCTTCTGCCCATCTCCCCTTCCCAGTAGCTATGAGAAATTTTACATTTCTTTAATATGCCATATACAAAAAGACATAAAGATAAATATCTTTATGTCTTAATAAGTGACTCAAGTATGAAGCAATCTAGATTAATGTGACAAAGCACTTAAAGTACTTTCCCAATACTGTAGTATTTTTTTATAATTGTCAAATTATAGGTCCTTATGTTACCTTTGACTGGATTTTCCCTGACCATAAGAATGATAAAAGAGATTTCCTAAGTAGGTCTTAATGGCATTAAGTTGCATTCAGTGACATCTGTTTTAAGGGGAAAATCAAGCTCATCTGCCTTTCTTTTTATTATAATGTGACAGCAAAATAATCTCTGTTGGGATAATCTTTAGTCTCACTTACCGTGTTTTCCCCAAAATAAGACCCTGTCTTATATTTTTTTAAATCCTGAAATAAACGCTTGGCCTTATTTTCGGGCAGGTCTTATTATTTTGGGGTATGTGGAGCAAGAAAGTGCCCCCCTCAGAACAGGCTCGCAATTTGGGTGTCCTTCTAGACTCACAGCTGAGACTGGACCAACATCTGACAACTGTAGCTAGGGAGATCTTTGCACAGGTTCATCTGGTGCACCAATTGCGACCCTACTTGGATCAGGAGGCTCTCCTCACAGTCACTCATGCCCTTGTCACCTCACGGTTGGATTATTGCAACACGCTTTACATGGGGCTACCCTTGAAAAGTATTCAGAGACTACAGTTGGTCCAGAATGCAGCTGCATGAGTTATAGTGGGTGCGCCTAGATACACCCACATTACACCAATTCTCCGCGAGCTGCATTAGCTCCCTATTGGTTTCTGGGTGCAATTCAAGGTGTTGGTTATTATCTTTAAGCCATATATGGCTCAGGGCCAGGCTATCTTCGAGACCACCTTCTACCACATAGCTCCCAGCGACTGGTAAAATCCCACAGAGTTGGTCTCCTCCAGGTCCCATCAGCTAAACAATGTCGGCTGGCGGGCCTGCGGGGGAGAGCCTTCTCTGTGGCTGCTCCGGCTCTCTGGAACCAATTACCTCCTGAGATCCGGACCGCCCCCACCCTATTGGCCTTCCGCAAAGCGATGAAGACCTGGCTCTTCCGGCAGGCCTGGGCCGTTGATCTCATTATAATGATCTTGCGAGACCTGGCCACGAATTGGAGTGCATGTGTTTTAACGTTTTTAAAGTTTTTAATGTTTTAATGTTTTTCTTTTTAACATTTTTTATGGGATTGTTCGCATTGTTTTATTCTTTGTTGTAAGCCGCCCAACGTCCCTTGGGAGTTGGGTGGCATAGAAATGCGACAAAATAAATAAATAAATAAATAAATAAATAAATAAATAAATAAATAAATAAATAAATAAATAAATAAATAAATAAATAAATAAAATGGCGCTCTTGCCGTCTTACCTGATTTCCAGGTCTGCGTTTAAATATTTTCGGGGAGGGCTTATTTTGGGGGGAGAGGCTTATTTTAGTGCATGCGCTCAAAGCCGGATTGGGTTTATTATCAGGGGATGTCTTATTTTCGGGGAAACAGGGTAGTAAATGTTGTGATAAACAATAACAGGAACATTTTATTTATATAGTTAAGAATAGGCATCACCTTGGACAGTGTTGACTACTTAATACTATCTATCTGCCTTGTGGATTTTAGAATATGCAATGGATAATGCCTGTAGCAATTGCTCATAACATAGAGACACAATTAGTTGCTGCTGTGGAATATAATAATATGTGCTCATAGGTGAATATCAATTCCATAGATAATCCAGTTCTTGTGAGTTTGCTGTGTGACTGACACTGAATTTATACATGAAAAACAGTATAGCTAGATAGCTAGATAAATAGTTAAACAGAGGTAGAGGTGGATATACAAAATAAGAATAGCAGCCACGGCATTTAACAAAAAAACAAACAAACAGATAAAATTATATATCTATAGTAATGAAATAATATGTGAATAAAAGTAGTGGAGATTCAAGCTATATGTCATCAAAGTCAGATTTGACAGTTCCAAAAGTAAGTCCAGCTGGCTTTCTTGGTTTATTCCTAGTGTGACCTAAATTTGGGGTTCCAGTTTCAAGGCTAGTCCCGAGAATACAAAGAGCTAAATGTATATTGAGGAAGAAAATAAATTCATCCTATAAAAATTCAATTCAATTCATCCTATAAAAAAATCAATTCAATTATTTTTCTGGATTAAGCCTCTATTTGTTTGATTTCTTTCTTCCCATGTTTTGCCAACATAAGAAATTAGTTTTAAAACTGAATGCCTTCCTTGGATTTAGATAGAAATAAAAGAGAATCAGTAGTTGATATAAGCATATTCGTAGCACTGAGTCCCAAACTCAGTATAACCTGTTTCAGCATTTTTGTACACATGTTACAAAAGAGCATTGGGTAACATTGAACATGATGTAGAAGAGGTGAAACTATAAAATGTGCAGCTATTGAAAGAGAAATGTTGTCCCTTTTCCCATTCATCATACAGCAGTAAAAAAAAAAATGAAAATAATTGGTAACTTAAATAAACATAAAATCATAATGCTCATTTTGTTGATATATATTTACCCAAGAATGTGTATGCTGGGAAGGATCAAACCATGTATCATGATATAGACGGAATGGAGAATGTAATTATAAGGTGTTACCTATTGAGGATTTTTTCCCCAGATTTTTATTTATACCATCATAATGTACCAAAATAGGATGTAAATGAAAATATGCTCACAAGAAATAAAACAATGGCAGAAGTTCTAATTTGAATAATTATGAATATTGAAATAATGTGCATTTGCTATAAACAGTGCTTTAACATTGGCAGGGGAATGCATATAACTTTTCTATTATTGCCATATTCTGGTATTGTAAAAAGATGAATTGTGTAGAGTTAAAATCCTGAACTTGCCTGCTGAAAAGTGAGTCCCTCTAGAATTGAATTAATTTCTCTGAATGCATACTGATTCCCTAAATGTCTTAAATTGCAAATGTAGCTTTCCTCCAAAAAAACTCAAGTATATGGCTACCGTGAACTCTAAACCTGCTAGTTTTAATAGATTCATTCACCACTGAATAGCTGTTACGATTAGATAATAAAAGTGTGATTACTTTTTAAAGCTTTTCTTTTCTTGATTTTGGTTGGGCAGTAAATTGGCCAAGAAACGGAAGGATGCCATGGGAAACACTAGACAAGAAATGACCCATATGGTGAATGCCATGGATCGGAGTTATGCTGATCAAAGCACACTCCATGCAGAAGATCCACTTTCGGTCACCTTTATGGATTCTCATAACTTCAACCCCAGATGTAAGTATGATAGTCCCATTGTCACTGAAGTTGGTATCTTACTTCTGTTTATATCTGCTGTACATTGCATTTGGTACCATAAAAATGTATTTTATGCAAGGGAATGAGATAGTAGAGTTATGAAACATTTGTCTTTCTTCCAGACAGACCAAAAAAAAAAAAAAGAATCAAATACAGAGAAATTTAGAATACCTGTTTATAAAATACAATTTTATAACAACGAATAAGAACAGAGCTATTCTCTAACAAAAAGAGTAGAAAGTTTACTCCAAAGCCACAATTTAATGCCTTGCCAATTCTTTGCTGGATAAGTGCTGGGTCCAAAGATGAGAAACATAAAGGGCAGTACTTTAGAAGACTGATGCATATATAAATTCTCACAGAAAATTCCTTTTCAAGATAATATTTTAAGTGACTTCCCAATGTATTACTGTTGTAGTTTTGTAGCATGTAAATTGCTTCAGAAACAGCAGGCAATGATTACTTTCTATTCTTTCATTAAAAACTCTAGTATTACATCATATTTTCCCCAGTATTAATCCACAGAAAATGATAGATGTTGACTTTTTTTCCCTTCAACATTGAACATGCAATATATGGATTCATACCATTGTTCTCTCTGTATGGAAAGAATTGTAGCTCTTTAAAACTTACACTTGTAAAAAAAAAAAAACACCTTGTATTTTGCAAATAGAATTTCAAAATCTGTAACAGCATGTCTGAGAAAAACAGATTTCCCCCATAATCAGATGTTTTTTTACCATTATTCTCACACTAACCACTATGATTGTATGCATATGTGTGTACACATACACAAATAATTTGATACTCAAATTACTTTTTATTTCAACCGTTTGGGATATTGTATTTATATGTAGATACTAATTACTCATCTAATTAGTAACTGTGTATATCTGTATGTCTGTGTATGAGTTCCATTAAAAGGTATTGTTCTAGTTACACAACAGTATTGCTGCCAATAACTTCAGAACATAAACTTCTATAATAGGAGTAGGATGTGAAGCTGAAGAAACATAAGGATATTACCAAAAAGCGTATTAAGGACTCTTGCAAACAATATACTACTGGATGCAATGCATAGGTATACAAGGAAGAAATGGTATATAGGAAACCTTTCTTCCCTGAACTTCTGTAAGACATCTTAAGGTTTGGTTGTAATTTTAGTTAGTTTTCCCACCCTATTTTCTACATAGGCCATGTTCCCCTGGAAAAAAAAAACAAAAAAAACAAGCCAGTTCAAGAGATAACTGAGCAATTTGAACAATGTGGAGATGGTTGTTGAAAAATCCAGGCCAAATCTGAGAAGAGAAAGCCACCTCCATCAACTAAGAGCTATGTTCTTCATCTCCAATAATGGTTGGAATGAGCGGTGAAACCCTCTCATGTTGCACAGGACCAGTTGCAGGGCTCAAGAGGCCAGATTGATTTTTTTTGTTGCCTGCCAATTCCCCCAGGAATGTTGGCCAGCCGACAGCTTTACTCAAGCCATGCCAAAACTTTGCCCTACTAAGAAAGTTAGACATTTGGAAGCTTAAAATTCTGGCTTGTCCTCCTTGCTGAACCCAAGGCATTCTGAGAGCAGTAATTGCTTCCTAAAGTTGAATTATCCTTTGGCAGCTGCTCTGATAAAACTATCTAAGCCTTTTCTCCTTAGCTTTCAGGAAGAAAATGCTTAGATTATGACTAAATCCAACCTGTTTGGACAGTTGTATACATTTATTGCACTGTTTATTCTGTAAAAAAGCAAACATTGTTTTCTACAAAGTGGTTTTGTATTTCCTGTTTCACTAATAAGATGAATAGGCTTTGCTGTATGTTCCAAAAAGTTTGTGCTTCTTTTTTTCTTTTAAAAAAAAACCAGTTGGAGGCAATGAATTTTTTTCATAAGCTTTGTTTTCCCGCAGTGCCCAATGATCCACTTGTGCCGACTGCTGTGTTAGGTGAGGACCTAGTCCTTTGTCTTCTTTTCCTTCATGACTTACAACCCTTGTAAATAAATATGTTTATTGCACGTCCAAGCAGCTAGTTACAGATTTTAAAAAATAGGCCTGGTGCTTAGCAGAATATTTAATATTAGATATATAAAGAGCCGTGGTGGTGCAGTGATTAGAATGCAGTACTGCTGGCTACTTCTACTGACCGCCAGCTGTCTGCAGTTCAACAGTTTGAATCTCACAAGACTCAAGGTTGACTCAGCCTTCTATCCTTCCAAGGTTGGTACAATGAGGACCCAGATTGTTGGGGCCAATATACTGACTCTGTAAATTGCTTAGAAAGGGCTGTAAAGCACTGTGAAGCAGTATATAAGTCTAAGTGCTATTGCTATATTCAGCTACAGGTAGTCCTTGACTTAGACCACAATTGGGATCAGAATCTCCCTTGTTAAGCAAGGTGGTTGTTAAGTGAGTCGTACCTGATTTACGGCCTTTTTTGCTATGGTTTTAAGTGAATTACTGAAGTTGATGGGTGAATCACATGGTCTAGCTTAAATGATGGTTGTGAATGATGATCACAGGACCTCAGGATACTGCAACCATTACAAATACATGCCAGTTGCCAAGCACCCCAATTTGGATCACATGACCTAGGGGATGCGGTAATGGGTCATAAGTCTGAAGACCACTTGTCACTTTTTTCAATGCCGTTGTAGCTTCAAATGACACTAAATAATTGATTGTAAGTCAAGAGCTACCTGTATAGGTTTCATTTTCCAATGACACACTAGTGTAAGCAAGAATTTTCAGGAGCTGAAAGATGGGTGCACAATATGCAGTTCCACCTGTTGTGGTACTAAAAGAACTCTGAGAACTCTAGCCAGAAACATTGCATCTTGGGACTTGTAGTTCAGCAATATCTACAGCAGCAGGTTAGATACCCATTGTCTAAAATATTTACTGAAAAGCTTTTTACACACCCTTGCGCACATAGATATTGTTAGCTTTGTAATTTTATAGCTTAGTCAGTGGCAGCGTTCATGAATTTTTATTTATGTGTGCATGCCTATAGATCTGATTCTGTCTTAAGATAGGGATTAATAAACTATAGCTGGGGTGCAAGCATTCCCAAACTCATTTATGTGGTTTTTGGAACACACTCAAACTACTATTTCTGAAAAACGATGGCCTTTCTTTTTACCATTTGGGAGCAAAAAAAAAAAAAAACCCTCATAAAACTGTGGTGGAAATCTTACAATTAATTTAACATAGTTCTAAAGCCTCCTCTGAAATTCTGTGGGTAAAAATAAAAATTTCAGCTCTGGCCATATTTGTGAATGTCACCTACCCACCCCTTTGTATTCCACTGTAAACCTCAGCCTTCGAGTAAGTTGCTCTAGCCTCCCAGCTTAGAGCAACCAAGGTTCTCCCCATAGTAAAGGAATATTATGTATGGCTGCTTGATGACATAGCTTTCCTTCTGCAGAACATACTCCATTCTTTTTTAAAAAATGATAGCATGGAGCTAATTAGGTATAGTGGTGTAAAGTTATTCTAGACCGTCACTGCTCTGTAGGTTCATGGCAAGAAAATTTATATTTCCAGAAGTTAAAATAATATTAGATGTGGTGGTGTTCTCCAAAAAGTCTCAACTTGTGGCTTATTGTAGATCTTAAACAACATGGGAGTCAAAATTGAACCTTGTGATTAGTGTACCAATCTATCATTCATATCTAGCCAAATAAAATGATTGTGTGGTATATCAACCCCCATCTGAAGCAAGCAATACAGAAGGATACCACTGGTATCGAAGACATTTTCCAGGAGCAAAACAAACATTCTAGGCAGAATGCCAAGTCATTCTGAGGCATTCTGGGTAGTTGCAGGATCAAATCTGTGTATTTTTAGAAAACTCATGAATATTGTGATGATACATACCTTCAACCTAAGTGCAATAGGAGGGACTATACACTTTAAATAAAGTGCATATAAATGATAAGAATCATGAATCATGAATAGTTGTCTTAATACTTTTCAAAGAACAGATTAAGCTGAAAGGTATACCAAATGGTATACCCACCATGGAAACTGTTCAAGAGTATCTTAGATGGTTTTAAGTAGTTCATTCTTTCCTCTGTTTCCTTCTAAAACCTGTAAAACATCCTTCTAAAATCTTCTGAAACCTAACACAGGATAGGTCCATCAGTTTGAAATCTATATTAAGTCTTCTTTTCTACTTGTAAGATCCATCTAAAGCTTCATGTCAGATCTCCCCTATTTAGCTTTAGCTATTTAATAAATTAGTGACTTACAATTTACAATCCTAAGCAATCAATAAAAATTTAGCTGGACGATTCAGTGTTGTTTCCTTAATGCTTTTTATTGAAAGAGTCTTACTGTAGTTGTTAAGGCACTAAACAACTGTATTTGATGTGGCATTAGTAATAGTAGTAGTAAGTAAGGCACTAAATTATATTTGATATTTGTCGTGACATTATCAGAACCTCCAAGTAGGCAAAAATGATTGTTTTGACATGCAAAGGTTAATCTATTAGAACCTCAAAGAGCAAACCTAGGGCAAAACTGACAGATTGACAGATTTCAACATACATTCCCATCACTGTATTAGTTTTTGTTAACTTTTTCACCTTTACGTGAAGCAAAATGCCTTAGCTAGAGGTTGTGGGTGTTTGCACTTGACTTATACATTAGTTAATATACGTGGTCTCTAATAGTATATTAGTCTTGTTGTTTTTCATTAATTAAACATTTTGCATGTGAAATATAATTTGAAGTATTTCTATCAACATGTGCTAATTAAAAATAGTATAAAGGATTTCAAAAATGGCAAAAACCTACCTCAGTATCTCCATTATAATTCTTCTAGAACTTGTAAGCTTGCTTTAGCGATTTCGTAACATGTAGCTGGCTGGTTTTAAATGTGTCTCAGATATTTTATTTGCTTTAACATGCTTCAATGTCTTCCAGTTCCAATAAGTGGTAAGTATTGGAGAAAATACAGTGTAACCATGAAATTATTTTTGTTCAGTTATATGCGACATAAATATATGAAATATTGTATTTATTGAGACCTTGACTTCTTACTTATAGTGCAAGTTAATTTAATAAGGTGTGTATAGAAGAAAAATTCAATTGAACGGATTAGGGGTTAGGGTTTGTGAAAGGCATTCATGGGGTGCAGTAGGGTCTACAAGCCCTGTTGCCTTTGTTCAGAAAACAAGCCATTCCGAGGGCATTATAATCGATGTGTAAATTAAGGGGAGCACCCGCAAGTCATGCATGCTCTATTACTTATAACAATAAAAGCTGTTTATTGTGATGCTTCAACAATCTGGATCAGACAGGTTAGTCCATTAATTTCCAAAGGTATATGAATTACTGTAATGCAGCAGTCATGAACCAAACAAAAATTGGCAACTTTTCTGAAAGTTGTTTTTCTCTTCACTTTAATTAACTGCTATGAAGATAGCAGAATATTTAAGTTTAAGTGAGCCAGTAGCAAATTGGGAGGCACGGAGGTAGTTGAAAACCTCTCTAAACCCAAAGAACAGTGGTATGTAATTATACAATCAGTTAGTATCATGGGACTTAGAAGTTGAACTGCAATTATAAACACTTTCAGGTTTCTCAGTGTATAAATCAAAATCAGGCTTTTATTCAACACATACCCGTGTCTCTTCTAACTCAGACTGAAAGCTCAGTTTAATCAATTTGAAGTCTCTAAGTGTACATTTTGAGCATAACTTCTTTTAAATATATATATATATATAAGGAGGATGCATATATTTATTTGGCATATAGCCATTCCAATTATGAACCATCTGAACAACTTACAGTCTTACCATGCATTGACAGAATTAAAAGATCTAAGAGCATAGAACTGAAAAACATAAACATTCACAAATATTTAACACAAAATATTTAACACAGTAGCAAAATCCTTTGCTGAGTAGGTATTAGAAGTTGGAACCCACAGTCATTCACAGGGAAGGTCTCCCTCAATTCACCTTCCCCCAAATGTCTGCTAAAGTAACCTTGCTTTGTGTTTTTTCATAAATATCAGTCACCATTGAGTCATACTGAATCTCTAAGAGGATGTTCTTCCAGATCGGGAGTGGGGGGGGGAGTCAATGACTGAGAAGGCCAAAGAGAGATGCCTTTCTTTAAGAGGGGGAACACGGAGGGAGCTCACTCTTTTCGATCAACGTGGGGGCAGCTGCTTGTTGCTTATGCTTTCTTTTGTAAGAGTCAAAATAGCACCCAGATGTTTGCAGAGTACTGAAATGAGCTCATGAGAAGATGGGCTGTAGCAGGAATATTTCAGTTTCGTTGTTGCTGAATACTCTTCCATTCTTTGGGCTCTTATAACCACAGATGAAAACCACAGTGCAACAGCAGAGTCGAGTCGTCTATTAGATGTGCCTCGTTATCTCTGCGAAGGAACGGAATCCCCCTACCAAACTGGCCAACTGCATCCTGCTATCAGAGTAGCGGATTTGCTGCAGCATATTAATCTCATGAAAACATCTGACAGCTATGGCTTTAAAGAAGAGTACGAGGTAACAATGTCAGTGGTTGCTTTTTTACCTGACCTAGAGCAGAGAGTTCCTTTGAGAGTAAAGCTTCTTAATTGCAAGGAGAGAGAGTTCTTAATTACAAGAGCATGAAAATGAATATTTCATGGGGTTACGTTCTTTTAAAAGATAATTTTCCATGTGCCATGAATCAGTGGAAAATTTAAAAGCATTACATGTGAACCAGAGAGTTGCAAAGAGCGAAAAGTGTCAAAAACACACCTTCCTCGTACAGATATTCCTCCCTTTTTAAGGACAGATTTTTCCCTCAACATTCCCATGCAGGTATTATATAAACCAAATCTTACATGCAAATGTCATTTGTTGAAAAGTTTCCCTTGGAAGGCTCTATATGCAGCATCAATACTTATACATTGCCAAAAAAAACCCCACCCCAATCTTCTTTGTCTATTTGATTGATTGATTGATTTGGACATTTATTGGTAGCTTTTTATAGCCACCCTGATCAAAAGACTCTGTAAGTTACATGATGTTAAAAGAGAAAAAAAAAACAGCAGATAAATCAACCTTCTTTCCAATTCCTACTCCTAAGAATTGGAGGGGGGGCTGTCTTTTAAGATATTTTAAAACCATAATCTCTGGAGGTAAGGTATTCAAAAGTTTGGGGTGGGGGGATCCACAAAGAAGGCCAGATGTTTTGTCTATGTCCCACTCCCAACCCTCACTTCAGAAAGTGGGTGGGTTAAGATGTTCCCATCATGTGATCAGATACAATTCTGGTGAGACCATGCATCCATGTATATGTGTTACATGCAGAGAGACCTTGGACAAGTTAGAATGAAAAGTGTATGACCTGTCTAGACCATACATAGATCCTTGAATCCTGATTCGGAAACACTGGTTTTATTCTTTGCTGATCAGCTAGTTTTATTTAAAGGAAATATGTATATACCTTTTAATATTTGATTTTGGTTTTTGCTATGTGAGTCACTAATTCATTTTATTCACATAAAACAAAGCAGGTATGACTTTTAAAAACATATTTTATTTATTTGTTTGTTTGTTTGTTCATTGTGTTACAGAGAAAGGCATTATACAGGATAAATACTACAATATATATTTTCTGATGGATCCATTAATCATATGGGAGATTAGTTAAAAAAAAAACACCACACCTTGTTACCAGTAACCCCAAATCACTGTTACATAATTCCAAGCTCATATTGTACGCAATTTTCTCACCATGTAGTTGAAATTATTTTACATTTTTATAACCTATTTTCAGTTGTTGGCTTCAAGAAACGCTACATTTGCTTTTTATCATTGTGCTGGAAATACAGGTAGTCCTCAACTTACGAATAGTTGCTTAGCAACCATTCAAAGTTACAACAGGCATCCCTCCCCCTCACAAAAGAGACTTACAACACAGTTCCAAAGTTCTGACAATCAGTTCCACCCCTTGCAGTCACGTGAGCATATTTTGGGCACTCAGCTACTGATCCACATTTAGAGCCTTTTGCAGCATCTGGTGTTCACATGGTCCCAATTTACAATGTTTTTGCTGAAAACTGGTGTTTGCCTCAAGTTTTGGACAAAAACACCCCACTCCTTTATGACCATGTTGATTTGCTTAATGACCATCAGTAAAAAAATAAAACCAGGTTGGTCACATGGGTGACCCACTTTATGACTATTACATCCTATGACCATAATGGGCAGGCATAGGAGAGTTGTAAGTCGAGAACTACCTGTAATTATTTAATTAAGAAGTATATTTTTTGCATGACTGTAGTTTAATCATTTTATTTACATCAGCAGTATTACTCAACCTCAACAATGTTAAGATTTGTTAACTTCAATTCTCAGAATTCCCCATTCAGCATTTTAAAATTGCTGAAGTTGAGAAACAAGGATATTAGGACTCATTTTTTCCCCCACCACAAGCCTTCTTGTGTTTTCTAGAACTTTTCAAAACTGCCAGGCACTGGGTTTGTTTCTGCCTGGCAGAATATTTCCATGTATTTATACCAGAAAAAGCTATATATGCTGATATCTAACTCCAGTAAAACGATCAAACTCAGAGAAACCAAGAACCCAACTGATGCTCTAACAATGTTAATGTAAAATGTGTCAGGATGAATAAAACGTTAAAATAAATATAAATTATCTCTTTATTTTGAAAGAGTTTCTTTGAAGGACAATCAGCTTCTTGGGATGTGGCCAAAAAGGATCAAAACAGAACGAAGAATAGATATGGGAACATTATAGCATGTGAGTTAAAAACAGATAATCATGAAGATGAGTGTGTTATATCGCTGATTGACAAAATCTAGACAGCCTATTATTATGTCTACCCATCCTACATAGTAGTAAGTGATGTGTTTCTTGTTGGTTAAAAATTGAAATATTTTTCCCTAGCCTTAGTTCATTGCTTTAACTACTCCATAGCATTGCCTCTGCCAATGCTGAAGAGATTCATAGACAAAATTTTTGTATTTCCCAGAATCATAGCATAGAAGGGGCCTTGCAGAACATTTATTCCAGCCAATGTAGACACGCATGACAAATGGCCATTCAGCTCTCTTTTAAGCTCTTCGGTCAAGGAGAGTCCATAACTTCCCTAAATAGTCTGTCCCATTATTAAATGGGTTTTATTAGGAAGTTGCTCCTGATGTGCAAGCAAAACCTTCTTTCTTGTAAATCCATTGTTCTACACACTGCCTTCTGAATCAAGTGTGAACAATTTGGCATCTAAAAAATATTGAGGAAAGCTGTCATGCTTTACCAAGATTAAATATGGCCAGTATCATCAATAGTTCTTCATAAGTTTTTTCTTCTGGGTTCTTTGTCTTGGTTGCTTGTTTCTGGATATGCTGCATATTCTCAGTATCCTTGCTAAAATGCACACGTAAACACAATGTAATTGTTGTCTAACCAACCCAGAACAATGAGGAACAATTATTTCTCTCGATACTGATGCTATATTTCTGTTGATGCAGCTTAGAATTACATTTGCTATTTTGAGAGCTCCATCATATATTTGCCTCTTGTTCAGCTTGTGTGATCCACCAAGCATGAACTGCTCTCCAGTATGGTTCACCTTTTTTTTTTTAAATTTGATTTATATGCCACCCTTCTCCGGAGACTCAGGGCGGCTTACAATGCGTTAAGCAATAGCCTTCATACTTTTGTATGTTTATACAAAGTCAGCTTATTGCCCCCACAAACTGGGTCCTCATTTTACCTACCTTAGAAAGGATGGAAGGCTGAGTCAACCTTGAGCCTGGTGAAATTCGAACTTACAGTAATTGCAGACAGCTGGTGTTAATCACAATGCTTTTAGTCTGCTGAGCCACCAGGCCCATTCCTATACCATACACAAATGAAGCACTTTGCATTTATCCTTGTAGAAATTATCTTGCTGGTTTCCATGACAAATTTGATTGTCATGTTTTTTAACCCCTAATCCAAGTAAGTATATAAATACTGTATATTTAGCAACACAAAGCCTAGAAAATAGCTGCCTGATATCCAGTGGTGGGATTCAAGTAATTTAACAACCAGTTCTCTGCCCTAATGATTTCTTCCAACAACCACTTTGCCAAACTGCTTAGAAAGTTAACAACCGGTTCTCCCGAAGTGGTGCGAACTGGCTGAATCCCACCACTGCTGGTATCCCACTTGACACTTCTAGCTGGAGTGGAGCCACTGACATACTGTTTCAAAAGTAGCTACAATTGGGTCCATATTTCCCTTAGAAAAGAAACTCCATTGGGATGCTGTCATCATTGAGAAAGAACTCTTGCAGTCTTTCTGCTCTTAGTGCTTTAAAACCAAGGCAGGTTCTAAAGTGTGTATATTCCTCTGTTCACTCATTTCATTCAATTGTTCCACAGGGTAGATACAATTTCTATTTTCTTTTGGCTCTAGCCTGCCGTGCAATTTTAGATACCCTTTGAGGTTCCCCCGGCATTTTTGAGCAGACTGGGAAAGGGTCGCCAGCATTGCACGTCAAATGGAGGGTTTACCTTTTTGCTCCTTAAATAAGGGAACCTTTAGCCTTTACGTTTCACACTCATTTGTTTCTACTGTATATCATTCCAAAGACGAAACCATTTTTTGCAGATGATCACTCCAGGGTGATATTACAACCTGTGGAAGATGATCCTTCTTCAGACTACATTAATGCTAATTATATTGATGTAAGTAGATTATATATCTTGCTTTTTTTTTCTTTCCATCTTCTCTCTGTGAAACATTTTTGCATGCAATTCCTATGAACTGAATGAGAGCCTTAATATTATGAACAAAATGTACACTTTTCCTTGTCCTCCGTCCTAGTACTCACTGACATTGTTGTGCTTTCTTTCACATCTGACTTTGATTTGGGCTGTAGATTTGGCTGTACAGGGATGTAAGTACCACTATATGTGAATAACAGCATCCTGTTATGACTATTTAATATAGTGAACATTCTCAGTTGCTTTACCGTTCTAATTTTTATTACTAGATATATGTGCATGCCTCATTAATGAATTTCATTTATATATCTAGTCTTTTTAATGTTCCTTTGTGCTCTTTTTCTTTTTCTTTTACCTACATTTTAAAAATATCCTTAGTCTTTTACAGTGATCATGAAAATCATTAGCTAAATCAATAAAACCTAACCCTTACAAGACTCATTTTTTGCTTCTTTTATTACTCTCTTTTTTTTTTGCATTGTTTAGTAATTTTTCTTTTGTATTCCATTATTTTTGTGTGAGAAGCTGGATAATAGAATATAGTGTGTTGCTCTTGAAAAGAAACCTACTGATGGCCTGAAAGGGATAAAGGGAGGGCTAGAGTTGTCTCCTGTTCTCAAATGGGATTCATTTGAGCAGTGGTGCTCCTCCTACTAATCCTTGACTCTCATATTTCTAATGCAAGACAAGAATCCTCCACTTGCAATAAAAATGAAATAATAATAATAATGAGTTAAAAACGGTACTGAAGCTTACAGTTTTGGACAAATGCAAAATAACATATGTGACCATGAAAGCTATAATGGAATAATAATTTCCCAGACTATAGTCAAGGCTTGTATTTTTGATCATCTAATTTAATGCAGAATTTCAAAATATCTAATGTGTGTAATCAGGACTGATGTACTTAGAAAATAGTTTTCTAGACAGGTGCCATTACTTGAATAGAGCAGTTATCGCTCAGGGAGATACACCCGCCAATAGTTTTAATAAAAAGGATTTCATAGCTATGTCCCTGATCATTCAAATGAATGCATGTGCAAGATTAAGAGAACAATATTGCTCTGTGTTTACAAGGCCTCAATTTTATTTCAGGATTCTGCTGAAAGCTGTCATCTAACTCCTTGAGGGTTTCATTTCTCTGCAAGAAAATGTTTTCTTTCCCTGTTGTGTAGTGCATTCTCAGGTTGATCTAGACTTTTGTAGGATTTTTGCCCAAGGATCCTGACTTGCATTTTGTCTTAGATATTATAGTTGTGCAGCAGCCCTGGTTTTAAAGGGCTCCAGTAGTCAGCAGGACCTTAAAGTTGGTATATTTCATTTCATGGTATTTCCAACAGATATGACATGCGTCTGTACTCCACATCACATGTTATATTTGAGTGCAGATCACTGCACAGGTACAACACACAACTCTCTGCTTTTCTGAAAATCTCAGGTTATTATGAGATTTGTTTTGGATGTTAAAAAAACAAGGAAGCCATGGGCTGGTAGTAGCATTAGTGGCTAGTAATAGGCATTTCAATGCCATCGGCTCCTCAAAACAAAGTTAACATTTGCAATACTATACCAAATCCATAAGTCTCAATGATTTGTCTTCCTTTCAAAAATCATTCAAAAAATATGTCTTTCCTGTCAAAGAAGTGATGGAAAAACTGAAGAAGCAATGTTTTATATATATTGCTTTACATATGCATTTGTCAATAAGGCATCTTTGGGTATTCTTTTTCATAATAATTACATGTTCCTTTGACCAACTGAGTGCAATGTGTTTAATACATGAAAATTATACAATGCTGCTTCTAATCCTACCTTTAAGCCATAGAATCACGGAGGATAACATGTTTACATGTGCCAATACCATAGTTATTTGTTACGCTAATAAGACTAATTCCTTGCCTTCCCAAAATTCTATCATATAATTAGCAAAAACTTGATGAAATAATATTCATGAGATCCAGTAATATTTTTTTCTTGTTTCATATTCTAACCATTAACCAATCATGGTTAATTCTTGTTTACTTGAGGTCAACAAATCCTTTTTTAAAATATATGTATATGGAATCCTTCCCTGCATTTAATAATTGTACTGTAGAGAAAGTTCAGTAATGGCACATATATGTGTGTTCATCTTTATATTATGTGTACACATTCTTAAATTCTAAACTTTGTTTTATGTAATTGCACAACATTGCAGTATTGCATGTAGATTTGCAATCTGTACACACATATACATTGTCCAGCTCTAATGTTCAGCCATTCTGCTTACTCATTATGGCTCCATTTTTTTTCTGGTGCATTCATAGTGAAAGTTTTTGCTAACGGCTTGGTTGTTTTGTGCTTAATATTTAAAATAACAAACAAAACTTTGTCAATCTGTATTTTTTAAGTGAAGGCAAATCTCATAGGTGCTTAGAACAATTTCATAGTTTTACTGAATTAGAACCAAAAACAAATTTGAAATTCAATAAATGACAACAGTTATGGATTTTACAAAGCAGGATGATTAGGAAACAATGAGCCACTTCATTTTGATGTACACAGTATACGTTTACAGCAACTTTTCGTTTGGTTCTAAGTGCCATTGTCCAAAAATAACACTTTGAAATCAGCTGGGCTTATTTCACATCCAACAATGCACTTCGATGTTCTGAAAATGGTTGAAACTACGTTGTTGAATATGGCTAGCCACTACTAGCCTAGTTGTAAAGAGTATCTAGGAATATTTTGGTATGCCTTCATTTTCCCTATTTGGTTTGATTTTTAAAACTTACAGACTGTTTTAAAAATCAACCTATATTTGTTTTTATAGGGATACCAGAGACCAAGTCACTACATTGCAACCCAAGGTAAGAGTTTGTGGAAAATATGTGCAGAACTGTAAAATTCTTAATAAATGTGGTAAATTAGGCATGATTTTCCAAAGTGCTCCTTTGGATGTCTATATCACCAGTACAGATAAAAAAGAGAGACAAGTTTAATCTCTATTTATGTGAATTTGGTGAGAGAGAGTCTTGTTTGTTAAGATAACATAAATAGGCATTATTTAATTTCTGAGAAGTTTGGATTATAAATTAATTAGCATGCCTATTTTATTCAGTGAACTTTCTATCAAAAATGGGTGAAGAATTGCAGTGGGGAGGGATCCTGTTCAATTTCAGTGGTGTGATCTTGGAAAGAGGCTCCATGCCCTACAGAAAAGCAACCTTGGTCTCTGATGCTATCCAGTATCCTTTATCCATGCTGGCCAACCAAGCACCTTGGCATATACAGGACATGTGAACACTAGCTCTCTCCTGGTTGTGGCTATTCAGAAGCAGCATATTGTTCTTGAACCAGGATGTTAAGGCATGATGACTGATATCAATAATCCTATAAAGACTGCCTGTAAAAAAGAAATATTAACAAAAGCTGATGAAAACAAGACTTATGATACATGAGTACCAACATTCAAAATGGAGGGGCTGACACAGATCTGGGCTTATTTCACATCCAACAATTCTCACATTTTTCCAACATGGAGATAAGACAAAATGCTTGTTGGCTTATAATAAATGATGGTAATGGACAATTAAGTCAAATAATAAATATTGTGATAATCTTTAGGGCTGTGCAATGCTTCTTCAAAGTATACAAAGACTTTCTGTGTCCTTTTCCAGTATTATAAGTTCCCATTGGAAAAGATGAAGCTGATTTAAAGAGTTGCTGATAAGTACATTACACAACCTGAACAGTATGATTTTCCAAGTGTTAACGAGCCCATTCTAGAATTCCATTAATTCTCAGATATTGGGGGTTTTTTTGCACTAAAGCAGCTACAGTAGCTTAATCTTTATTTTGGCTTTAAAAAAAAACTAATAACCTGCTTTCGGTGAGATATTTCAACACTAATTATTAATGTGCAGAAGTTTTTGAAAGTTTACTGAAATCATTCATATCTGCTTTGAATTCCTGACAGCTATTTTAAAGATAATAGCTTTACAGGGTTGTTTTTTTAAAATTCATTTATAAGCATTTTCTTTGTCAGGTCCAGTGCACGAGACAGTCTATGATTTCTGGAGAATGATATGGCAAGAACAATCAGCCTGCATTGTTATGGTTACAAATTTAGTTGAAGTGGGTCGGGTAAGTATCTCCTTAGAAACGCCAAACCACATTAAAATTTGTAGTTCCATTGCTACAAAAAACAGAAGCAAAATGGGGAAGAACAAATGCCAACCTTTAAGTGACCAATATAGAGCCAAAATTCAATACCTCTGTTTGCATGTCTGTAATCTGTTGTGGCTTTGGGTTGATAGAAAAAAATGTGAATGCAAGTGCATGTGAGCATTTGAGGGTTTTTTTTCTGGAAATCTGTTCATACTCCCGGTTGAAGGATTAACTTCCCAAGAAATATATGGTTATTATATAGATAGGCATTTTAAAATGCTTATTCCACCCTTATTTTTTCATCATTTTTACCTGTATTTCCATTTATGAAATACAATCTACCGCTAAATAAAAATAATGATGTGATGTGTATGATATGGTAATTCATACATTTCTTCATTTGAGAAATGTTTCTATCATGTTGATCATAGGTTAAGTGCTACAAGTATTGGCCTGATGACACTGAAGTTTATGGGGACTTCAAAGTTGCTTGTGTGGAAGTGGAACCCCTTGCAGAATACGTTGTCAGGACGTTCACCCTTGAAAGGGTAAATATTTATGGATTAGAGCTTCCTATTATTTAACTGAAAGCTGCTGTAAATTTATTACGCTGCGATCACCAGTAAGATTTATGTAACATATTCAAGCCATTCTTTAATCAGCCCACCACTACAACACCTGAGTTGTAACACATTCATTCTGCTATGCCTAAGATTTCTAAATTGTTTTCCATTCACACCTCTGTCAATTTAATTTCCCTCTTATTTTTTTTCATTGTATAAGCAGCATCTCAAATGTCTATTAATTTTAATATCATACTAATTTTCTTGGTCATATTTTATGTCTTGTTATTTCACAAAAAACAAAATACTTTTTAAGTATTTTGCCGTCAGTTCAAACGTGTATCTGAGAATAATATCTGGCATATTCAACATGGTAAATAAACACAAACAACATGCCATAGTTTAGCAATCCCATCTGTCTCTCTTATTATCATACATACATGCATACATACATACATACATACATACATACATACATACATACATACGTCCTGACCACTCACCTTCCCTAAGGGCCTGAAAATCTGACTCTGCCAATTGACTTGGGATCCCAATGGGAGACTGCCGCACTGGACATGGTTATGGATTAATAGCAGATCCCACCTTACCTCCTGCACACCTTGTTCCCTCCCTCTCCATCTTTTTACCATAACTTATAATTGTATTGCTATATGTATGATTTGTCTTGATTCATTGGTTTTAACTTGTATGCCGCCCAAAGTCTCCTTGGGTGAGATAGGCAGCAAATAAATTATTATTATTATTATTATTATTATTATTATTATTATTATTATTATTATTATTATTATTATTTCAAAAAAATGGTGATGCATTTTTGAATATTTAGGTGACTGAGTTTCATGTTTAATTAATAAAGATAATAATAATAGATATATACAGACATATACTGTACATACACTTAGAAATATTCATAAATAATTTTAGTATCAGCTTTCTTGGATGATAATTTGCTAGGTAACCAACTTCAGGTTTTCTTTTGGGCATAGTTACATATAATTTAGACCTTTTCCTCAGTTATTTCACTGATTAATTACCGACACTTAATCTTCCTTTCTATATTATATGGTTGGTTCCTTATAATTTCAGTACAAAAAAAAAGAGTTGCATTATAGTCAGATGAATATTGTTCCTACATTTATAGTCTTGTAATCTTATTTATAGAAAATGGATTATGAATTAAGCCACTTTATATATGCCTTATTCAGACTTAAAAGTAAGCAAGATTTCTCCACAAAAAGAATTTGGTAACCTCTACCAAACCACAAGCTCTTTATTCTTTGAAATTGGGGAGTTCCAGATGCCTAAGTTAGCCTTCACCAATTTGATGTGCTATGTTAGGACTGAGATAAGATTCCCTTATTTCTTCCCTTGCTCCTTGTGGAAGTCTGGTTTAAAATCTGCTAGCATGTAAAGGGATGTTTTAATTCTGGTCTTGTCACCAGTGGTTTCCTTCACATATGTTTCTCGTTTCTTTATAACTGTAAAGCAGGAGTACACAAGCTTGAGGTTTTTGTCAAGGACACTCAAATAGCAAGGAACAGCAGGAACCATAGCAAGTTTTTATGATACATGGAACTAGACCATTATATTTTTGATTCCTGTTTCTAATCCTGAGTATGTTTCTCTCCATTTACGATATCTTACTCACCTGTATACACGTCATTGTTATACTTCACTTAAACATAAGGGCCTATCTAAACTTTAAATTGTTTTAGTTACCATTCTGTTTCAATGGAATCGTAAGAGTTACTTTGACATTAATGTAGACTTCCAGACTATTTCTTTAAAGGCTGAACTTTTCTTTCTTATGGAACTTTGCATATATTGTTACAATTTCATGATAACATACAATTGGCCTGGTGTACATGCAGTGTAAATATGCAATGATTAAAGTGTGATGAGTGCTATATTCAATTTTTTATTGGTTTTTTTTTTAAGTAAACTGATTAAAATCAACTGAAGCTTGCATTTTTAGTCCTGTATACATTTTAACCAGTTAAAAACAAAAACGATCACCTTTTAAAAAATCAACCAAACTTACCGTAACTCATGAGATGAAAGAAAAATACTCTTGTTATTATTTTCCATTTTGACAGAGAGGTTACAATGAAATCCGTGAAGTTAAACAGTTCCATTTTACCGGCTGGCCTGATCATGGAGTACCTTACAATGCAACAGGCCTTCTTTCATTTATACGCCGTGTAAAGCAATCTAACCCCCCAAGTGCCGGGCCTATTGTTGTGCATTGCAGGTGTGTAGAAAAGAGGTAGATGCATTTTCTATCATTCTTGATGTGTGCATGATCTGTCAAGTTTTGTGACGTGTTGTGGTGTGATATGGGGTGAATGAATCAGATGGCTTGACTTATTATTTCCAACTGACTCTTTTGACAGATAACTCCATGATCCAATTTCCAAGAATGTCTGATTCAGTTTCTGTGTTCTAAAGTTATCTGGACTGTTTTAAATACTACTAAGGCATAAGGTTGCTTTCGGTCAGTGTTCCAACCTGGAAGTCTCCATGTGTAGTTAATTACACTATGAACTTGAGGTTTATATAGACTACATAAAATAGTCTATATAAACAACAGTTTTACTTCTTAATAAGTAGGAAAATAATTCAAAAGAAGAAATATCTAAGTTATTGGTGAATCTAAACTTGCAGTTAATTATATAAAAGAAATTAAGCATTTTCTCTCATTGCTACTTTTTATCCTACATTGCAAGACCTACAACTTGCTTCTGAGAAGTATTAACATATTCCTCTGCAGGTAATAATAAACAATACTATTTTTTATTATTTCCTTCACTTATTTTAATCTTGTTGCAAGACCTTTGTAGTATCACATGCTTGGATTTTTTTAAAAAAAAATATAGAATATAGTCTGATCTTATATACTAGAGTAACTTATTTAGTGGATATTTTTACTGTAATAGATAACCTTCATAGTTTGGTTAGCAGGCTAGTTAAGTATGAACTTGGATATAAGTGTTAAATGGATTGCTAGCTGGCTTTAAACCATATTCAAATAATGCTCCACATTAATCTAGAAGGAAGTATCAAATGAGATGTCACATACTTCAATTCTGGACATGTATATATAATGACATGGAGGTGGAGAGGATGCTTATCAAAAATTGATGGGCTAGGTAAAGAGAATTTAAAAATATCTTAAAAGTTTAAAGAAATTGGTTGGAAACAACGGAATGAAAATTAGTTAATCAAAGGTCTTATTCAGAAATAACAAATCAAATAGACACCTAGACTGAGAAGGAGGATTCAGATTGGAAAAAAAAATGGGACAATAAGGACAATCCAGGGACTGTCAGCATTTTCTTGACTAACAAGGCAGAAACCCTGTAGAAATTTATTTCCCAGAACATGAAGTCTGAGAGTAGGTTGGCTATAGCAAAAACATGAAGCCATTATGAAATAATTCCCAGGACTGCTGAATATCAAATGTGAATTCTGTTTATATCAACCTGTGTTCAGATTTCTTTTGCCAAGAAACAAAACTGTTTTTAGTAGGAGATAACATTTCCATCTGTTTCTTGTTTCACTAATGGCCTGACGTGATATCAGATTGCTTACTTTTCACTGAATGAAAACCAACTTTCACAGGGTCTAGAAACTAAGTCCTAGGAAGAGGAAAAGTTTTGCTTTGCTTTGAAGAGGAAGATCCCTTCAAATACCTAAAAGGACATCACACAGAACATTAATACTGTACTTTTGTTCTAGATAGGAAGGCATGGAATAATAATAACTGATGTTAGAAAAACATTCCTAATGGTCAGGGCAAGTTGAAGGTAGAACTAATTCCCCAGAAGGATAATTTGTTTCCCTACACTGGCAATGTTGAAGCAAGTTATCTTGATTTTGATTGGGACATGGAACCAGACAATGAGCTAAATGGTACCTTTCAACTATATGAATTATGCTAAATATATGTCATAGTTCTACGTGGGAATGGCTGTTGGAAAACAAAACTGTGATCAGATGCAATCTGTTTCGAAAGACTAGAACTTTAGAGATTTTTTTAAAAAAATAGAATTGGTCCCATAATGAAATGCATGCTATAAATAAATGAACGAACAAAGCAAAACAAAAATCAGCCTTTTTAATTACTACTCTCAGAATCAGCTTAGTGAATATTTTATGAATAAGTTATCCTTGTTGAAAACTTATTGAAAAGATTTCTGCTGGAAATGTCTGTGTCAGAGAGAAATGAGAACAGTGCAAGAAAACTGTATAAGTAATATTAATATGTGTCAACTTAACCAATTCTAAGCCGGAGATTTTTTTTTCTGCTTTGCAAAATCATTACAGTATGTTCAGCAATAACACTGAAAATGTCTATGTAATTATGTCTTTACGTTAGCTAAAAACAATTCCACTTTCACAAAGTAAAATACTGGATTTTTTTAGAACATAAAATTAGACATTAGATTTCTGATTTATTTGGCTGCTTGTAATTTTTTTTAAAAATGTATGTTTTCTGCTTTACTCTAGTGCTGGAGCTGGCCGAACTGGATGCTATATTGTAATTGACATCATGTTAGACATGGCAGAAAGAGAAGGTGTTGTAGACATCTACAACTGTGTCAAAGCCTTACGTTCACGCCGCATCAACATGGTACAGACAGAGGTATTGTGCTGTTATGAATCAGTGGTCCAATTCTCATGTGCATTTTAGTCATTTGCCTTAAAAATATTCTGGCTCTCACAAGTTACTAAGCCAAATGTGCAACTGGTTCAAGACCGGTTAAATAAATAATGTGAAGAGAGAGCAAGACATCATTTTGTGGAGATGGGAAAGAAGATAAATCCGACCTTTGTTTATCCCCTTTCCAACTGTTCCATCCTCTTCGTATATTCCAAAGGTTCTCTCCTTAAAACATTGTATTAAGGGTCATCTGTGTATTTGTATATATATATGCCCGGAATACATTTACATGGAAACTGTGAAGAGAGAGATAGTTGTTGCATACCAAATTGTACTTACTTTTTAGCAATTTTTATAGTACTTTTCCTTCTCCATGTGTTTATCAGTTTTCAGGCAATAGCTTATACTGTATGTCTTATGCTAACACTGCAAAACAGTCATTATTTTTAGATGCAATATAATGCGGGTAAGAGGTTATTTTGGCACTAGTCCAATTGATGTTGGGAACATTGCAAAAGCAAACTCAGCACTGAACTGAACTGAAAGTTACATCCAACACAAACAAAATAAGCTGCTAGCAATACAAACACATCAACTTCATTTTACATTTTTTCTTTTATTTGGAACATATTCTTTGGCACCTTATCCTTATTTCACAGCGATGCATGTGGTTTTTGTATAGCTAGCATGAAAAGATTTTGCAAAAATTAAAAAAAATGTTCCAAATAATGAGATGGGGAGGGTACCTCCATTACAAGGCAAGATTATAGCAGTCGGAATTCTACAATTTAGAACAATGGGGACACATAAGAGGGAGATAAAATTACATATGATATGGATATCACAGTTGTTATTCTCTCGCTGTTAAAACTCAAGGTCATCCATTGAAACTATACATAGAAAGATTTAGGACTAAGAGAAGGAAATAATTTTTCATACTAGACATCCATAAACTAAGTACTGTGGTTTACAAAAGTAGTTGTGAAAATAGTAGCCAATTTAGATGGTGCTCAAAGGGCAGATTCATGGAAAATCAGGTTATCAATAGCCATTAATATTGATGCCTGATCATTACCTCCTGGACCATGGGCAGTACATCATAAATGTTGATCGCTAAGAAGCAATATTGGAAGGATGTTCCAGCCAGTAGTGGGTTGCCCCCAGTTCAGACCGGTTCTTTAGAACCGGTAGTAAAACTGGCAGGAGGTTCCGCCCACTGACCCTGATATCATCAGAAGTGATCTGCGCATGCACAGAAGCAAGGCATGTGTGCGAGCGAAGTGAGCACGCGCAATCCCATTGCGAACTGGTAGTAAGGTAAGTAGAACCCACCCCTGGTTCCAGCCCAAGATGTTCCTGTTGGCCACGAAAAGAACAGAGTTTCTTTCTAGTCAATGGAATGTCAACAAAAAAGGGACACTTTGTATGGCTTACATCATCAGGATTTGCCTAGAAGCAACCTCACTATTTGCTGAGTTTGTAAATTCTAGAGAAATTCTTGACTGGGGAATTTTGTTTCTGAATTTTTCTACTTCTACCATTTTCTGCTATCGCTGATCATGACCTGACATTTTCATTTTTAAAATAAAAATATATGCAGGTAATCCTTGACTTAACAACCACAATAGAGCTCAAAACGTCTGTTGCAAAGGAAGACAGTTGTTAAGTGAGTGAGTGACATTTTTGACACGGTTGTTAAGCAAATTACTGCAGTTGCTAAGTGAATCATATGATTGTTAAGTGAATCCAGCTTCCCCCGTTGACTTTACTTGTCGAAAACTGGCTGGAAAGGTTATAAATGGTGATCATGTAACCCTAGGATAGTACAACTGTCATATATACACAAGCACCCAAATTTTTATCACATGACCATGGGGATGCAAAGGTCTCAGTGTGAAAAATGGCCATAAATCACTTTTTTCAGTGCTGTTGCAACTTTGAACAGCCACTAAACAAATGGTCGTAAGTTGAGGACTACCTTTGCTTTCAAGCATACAACATTATATAAATAAAGCAGTGTTGGTGGTATGCTATATTTTTCATAGATGCGAGCAAAAACATAAATCATTCCCCCACATTATTTCTTTAATTTTGCCATTAAGTATCGTTGGGATTAAAATTTGCCATTCTTTAAAATGTATACTGATTGAATGAATATTATTTTAAAAATACACAGTACTGTATCTTGAGTTGGGTAATCGAGATGAAAGTTGTCTTTTTAAGCTTTCTTGAATAAGGGTGTTAATGGGAAAGTATCCAAAGGAGAGATTTCATTCCTTTAAGAACCATTGCTGGATTCAGTAATTAAGGCATCCCGTGGAATGTTAGAAAAACTATCCTAACCAATAAAATCTGCTCAACAGGGTTAGATGGAGAAGTGGTGGACTTTCTTTTATTAGATGCTTTCAAGAGGCACTACATACCAACCAGGTGCTGAGAGTTCTGTAATTTGTATTCCTACAATGAGCAAGAGGTTGGATTCAGTGACCTAAACGATCTGTCCAACAGTAGGATCCCCAAACTTCTTCTGTTCTTTCTCTGGCAGGAACAGTATATCTTTATTCATGATGCTATCCTGGAAGCCTGCTTATGCGGAGAAACTGCCATCCCAGTCTGTGAATTTAAAGCTGCCTATTTTGACATGATTCGAATAGACTCTCAGACAAACTCTTCACATCTTAAAGATGAATTCCAGGTACATTTGTTGGTTGATGTCATTTTAAAAACACAATTTCTTCGTTTCCTAAAGTACGGAATGTTTTGTACCTCCTGTGTCAGATTCATAATGCATTGTCCCCTTCTTTCATGGTGTTCTTTCATGTCTGGATATATGGGGAATATCACTGTGTGATTGTAATCACTGTAGGCTGCCAGTTCATTTGTACGTGGATGACATTTAGCCCACCAGGAGCAATTTTTGCATTTTAGATAAGTGTAAAATACAGGGCATGAATTTTACATGATGATTTCCAATTTTGTATATGCAGATTCTCCTTCCGTACTCCTGACTAAACAGAAGTAAACGTGCTTATGCTTTCTTTGTGGCTTTCGCTGTTGTCGCCTTGCCTGTATCCCTTATGCCCAAATCTCTTTGAGTTAAGCACACAATGTCAAAATAAATATTTCTTTTGCCTTGTAGACCCTGAATTCTGTGACTCCTCGGCTACAAGCCGAAGACTGCAGCATAGCATGCTTGCCAAGAAATCATGACAAAAACCGCTTTATGGATATGCTGCCACCTGACAGATGTCTGCCTTTCTTAATTACTATTGATGGTGAGAGCAGCAATTACATCAATGCTGCCCTTATGGATGTAAGTGACTATTTTCCTTCACTAGATGAGAAATATACAACAGAATTATTGGTACTTTGGGGGGGGAGAGATTAATTCACACTTATTCTGACGTGCAGTAATATTTTTAATCAAGAACCTAAAAGTATTGATTCTTCTGACTTTATGAATATTACAAATTTTCTGTAGTTTTTTGGTGTTGAAAATTGCTGAGGGAAAATGACCTTGGATATTTTTATATTTTGATTCAGCCAGTAAGTGATCTTGTATTTTGAGGAAACAATCACTTCCAACCTGCCAAAGGATTCATGGTTATGTACACCTAAAAACCAAAACAGTTATTTTTCACATTATAATTAATTCATTAGTATTTATACAGTTATTATTAAAATGATCCCAAATGATCTTAGCCTTGAAAGGTCCTCCTGAACAGATGTTCTTTCCCTTCAGAAGAGGTTAGAAAAATCCAAAAGAAAGGAAAGAAGAGATCTCTCATCTTGCCACTTACAGAGCCCTTCTGAGCTTTTCAAAAAGTCAGAAGCAAGGAAAAATCGGAGCTCAAAGTTCATTAACTTTTCTGGGAAGTACAGCATGGAAATCTGGACCCATAATAGCATCTAGAGCAGGGGTGTCAAACTCGATTTCATTGAGAGACACATCAGGGTTGTGTTTGACCTCGGAGTGGGAGTGGTCAGGTGGGTATGGCCAGCTCAATGTCACTTGTGTCGGGGGCACCTGTGGTGCTCTGCCTGTGAAAACGGGCTTGCAAGCTCTGTTTTCGGCTGTGACGGCCTCCTGTAACCCTCTATCAGTGAAAACAACTCGGGAGGGCCATGCGTGGCCCTCACGAGCTCCATTTTTTTTTCTGGGAGAGGCACCGCAGGCCAGTCCTTTGCTGTTTGCAGGGTGGCCCCGTGGGCCAGATCTAAGCACCTCATGGGCTGAATCCAGCCTGCAGGCCTTGAGTTTGACATCCCTAGTCTAGTGAGGAAAGCATAAATCAGGCATATCTCATTCTTTTGTACCATTTGCCTCTGGACATTGTAACATCAACAATTGATCCTAGGAAGAACACCCTTTTTATCTTTTCACATTTCCTTCCAAGAAGTATGATAGTGGAGATTAGGCCAGATGACTCAATCCTTTATACCAATCAGTTGGAAAGTACAGATAGGTACGTAGACAAAAGTCAACAGGCAGTATTTCTCTCCAAGGAGCTATTGTAATTTTTAACATTTCCTTTTACTCCTATTACCTCCTTCTCCTAGATCAACAGCCCCCACCTTTTTGGGCATCAGGGACCGGTTCCATGGAGAAAGGTTTTTCCAAGAACCAGAAGAGGTGTGGTTTTGTGTGCTGCCTGCATCCTGTGGATGGGGCTCCACTTGTTTGCACGGACCGGCATAGACTGGGAGTTGTGGACCCCTGTCCTAGATAACTAAGTCTAATTCTTCTGCTGCATAAAGAGAGAGGATGCAGAAGGAAGTAATAGGAGTAGATGCTCACATTCACTGTTTCTGATACACACCAATCATCCCCATAATCCAATTCTCAGTTAGCTTAAAGGAACTAACCCATTAATCCACCTCTTGACACCCAGCATAACTCTTTAAAAAAAAGCTGGTAACTGTTCATGGTCAAGGTTATTCTGCCTTAAGATCTATCATGAGGACAAATAAATCCATCATGCTCTTTTTCTCCAAGACAAAGAAGTGTAAACTAAAGTGAAAACAAAAACTAAGAAGTTTCTTAGTTCTGGCCATGATTTAATTTTTTTTAATTTCCTAGTCCCATCCTATCCTTCTCAAGATGAAAGGAGTTAATATATTGTCTGTTTTGTTATTATTCTATTGCTCAATCTGGAGAATGGTACAGTGTTGTGTAAAATTTATATGCTTATTTGATGAGGGGGATATTGCTGCCTGCATTTCCCTTTTATTTGTATTTTATCTATTTTTAAATATAGAGCTACAGACAACCTGCTGCTTTCATTGTCACACAGCATCCTCTGCCGAACACTGTGAAAGATTTCTGGAGACTAGTCTACGATTATGGCTGTACCTCTCTTGTGATGTTAAATGAAGTTGATTTAGCACAAGTAAGATCTTGATGCTGAAAAAGTTTGGGCAATCCACTTTAAAAGGACTAATCTCTTTTTTTTTCAGTAGAAAATTTCCCTCATATTCCGACTGAAATGGTATCTACTGTATATCATTATCTATGCACACCCTTGCTGGCTAATAGATGTTCTGTACTATAAAATAAAATATTTAATGTAAAAGAGACTGCTAAGAAGAAGATGAGGTTTTATATATTGAACCTGTTGCCCTCCTTCCAGATGTGAGCCAGTTTAATTAAGCATGAGAACTGTGAGCTCCATCAGCAGTTGCAATTAATAGAAGAGTTGGGTAATTAAAACTGCTTTACGATGCAAAATTGGAACAATGTGAATTTTTTTCCCAATCTTGTGTTGTTGTATTTGCATAATGATTAAGCTATCGTGATTCTGATGTCTTAGTTAGAAGACACCACAATGTATGATGATTTAGCACAATGTCTAAAGCTGCTTAAGTTTTTACATACGTTTTTATTTATTAAGTTTTTATTTAATATCACACAGGGTTGCCCACAATATTGGCCGGAGGAAGGAATGCTGAGATATGGTCCTATTCAGGTTGAGTGCATGTCCTGCTCAATGGAGTGTGATGTAATCAACAGAATTTTCAGGATATGCAATTTAACAAGGGTAAGGCATGTTTACTGAGCTATTGTAATGGACTTCCATATTAAAAAAAAAAACATTTTTACAAAAATTAAATGGCTTTAATTAAAAAAAAAAAGACACCTTACTGTATGGTAGCATTTTTCAACTTGGTAACTTTAAGACATGTGGACCTCAACTCCTACAATTCAAGTTCTTTCAGCTATATCATCCTTGCTGGACCTGTTAGCAGCCATTTCAAGAAACTTGTCTTTTTTCAAGTTTGCTCCATAACCACAAAGGCACTGGAACTTTTAAGTTCAGGAAGCATTGTAAGCCACACAATCTCCTCTTTAAGGGTATTTTCCTTAGGTTAGAGGTCTAGTGTGACTCTAGAAAAAAATCATGGCTCCAACATGGAACAATGAGCATACCCAGATCAGACCCAAATACCGCACACCTTGAACTGAAAACATTTTATTTTATTTAATTCTAGCAGCTGTTCTTTTCTCTGGAAATCCCCTCATCTGTCTCCAGAAATTTTTTCATACTTTCCTCAGATGGTATAGGAGTTTGCAAGAAAAGGGAAAGGGGGAAAAAAATCTAATCTAATAAAATCTAATCTAATAATTAGAATTGCTGAGGATCAGATTAGTTCTGCATTAAAAAAAAAAAAAACACAACATTTTACTATCTGCCAGCCTAATCTGTCTCACAGGATTTTTGAAAAGATGAAAAACTTTGAATATCTTGTTTTGCATCTGATGCCGCACCTAAAATTAACCTGTGGCATTGGTAATTGAGCTATATTTTCTATGACAAAGATGGGTTTCCCCCACCTCAAAAAATAAAGCCCTTCGGACCAGGACTGTTTATAGAAATTTGACTAAATAATTGCAAACTTTTATCTTGGATTCACTATGTGAAATACAAAGGTGATAAATAAACAATATTTTTGAAGAATACTTTTTTTTTTTCTGTAGCACCAATGCAAGCTGAGATATGACTTAAGCTACATTGCAAACCAACTCTTCTTCATCTTCACACTTTTGTAACTGTGCAGAGTAAAAAATTTTTGTCACCATGCTTTCTGCTATCCTGGCTGATGAACTAGAAAACTAGTTCACTGCCATTAACTTTTCATCGATCTTAATATAGCCACTCATTCTTTTGTAACTTCATTGTCTGTAGTGGGTATAAAATTGTTTTTTTTTTCCTTTTCATTAGCCTCAGGAAGGTTACCTGATGGTTCAGCAATTCCAGTATCTGAGTTGGGCACCTCATAGGGATGTCCCAGGCTCCAAGAGGTCATTCTTAAACTTAATTCTTCAAGTGGAAAAGTGGCAAGAAGAATGCGAAGAAGGGGAAGGGAGGACCATAATTCATTGTCTGTAAGTGTAATTTAGCATTTTAACCCTGACTATTTATTATCGCCATGCTGGGAAATGGAATTTCATGTAGGTGAAATTTCATGTAGGTGTTCTAGATATGTCTCACTTAACAGAACAATAGTGTCTACTCCTATTTCTCTAGTCAAAGAGGAATATTTCTTCTTCCCAAAAATGGTATATGCCTTTTTATGATAGCATATCTTGTATGATGATATTGGACACTTGAACAGGGTTATCTAGATTCATAAATGTAATGGAAAAATGAGGGATATCTCAGACCACATTGTATACCAGCCAACTCAAGCATTTAGAACTACTTTCTAAGCAAAATATTTCCTACAACCATTGAACCTTGACCAAATTTAAGTTCTTCCTTCTAATAGTCCCTCATTCCAGGTGATTTTGTTAAGGCCAAGAATATATAATTTTAGAGACTGAAGTCATCTATATGTAAGCATTTTTCTTCTCCCCACCCCCTCTCTCTGTCTCTCTTTCTCTCTCCCTCCCTTTCTCTCTCCCCCCATCTCTCTCCTCCCCTTCTCTCCTCTCCTCCCCTACTCATTTTCAACATGTTGCTGTGTGGTGTTATGAGCTAATTAGAATTACATCATATTAGGGTGAAGAAACAGAAACTTAGCCCAAATATAACAAGGCTATTGTTAGGTAACAAGTTATCAAGGAAAAAAAGAAGGATGATATAAAACCATAATAGGAGATAACCAAAAGCTAATTACACATCTTTCAAAAAGACATGAAGGAGTAGTAATGGGACATTTTAATTATTTCAACATCTGTTGGAAGATAAACTCTGACAAACATGGTCCTTTCAAGAAAATAATTGATCTGTCTCTCTGAAAATCCTTCAGTAGGTTTAACAAGGCATGAGTGATCAGCTCTGCTTGACTTAATCTTAATCAACAGGGAAAACAAAAGTGGTGGGACAATTAAAGAAAAATAACATGTACAGATGAAATTGTTTATATTCAGGAATACTGAATCTTAATGTAATCAAGCACATATGTTAAAGATAAGATAACCTTTATTGTCATTTTTTCCCCTATGTGCTCTCTGACACATATTAAAAATGAAATTCTGTTTCCGGCTGTCAAAGGTGTACACATAACAGCATATAGATATGCTATATACACATACATATACATAACCAGCATATAGATATGCTATATACACATACATGTGCATACACCCCACATGTGGGGTGCCTCAGGAGTCGGTTCTCTCCCCCCTGCTCTTTAACATCTATATGAAGCCGCTGGGTAAGATCATTCGTGGTTTTGGGATGAAGTACCATCAATATGCTGATGATACTCAGCTTTATATCTCCACCCCGGACCACCCTAGGGATGCCCTTTCCGTGATGTTCCTCTGCCTGGAAGCGGTGGGGGTCTGGATGGGAAGAAACAGACTCAGACTCAACCCATCCAAGACTGAGTGGCTGTGGATGCTGGCATCTCGTGATCTAGTGGTCCCATCACTTGTGATAGGAGGGGAGGTACTCACTCCCTCAGAAAGGGTTCACAATCTGGGTGTCCTCCTGGATTCACGGCTATCTTTAGAAGATCATCTGACGGCCGTGACCAGGGGGGCCTTTGCACAAGTATGCCTGGTGCGCCAGTTGCGCCCTTTCCTAGACCGGGATGCCCTCACCACAATCACTCATGCCCTTGTTACTTCTCGGTTGGACTACTATAATGCCCTCTACATGGGGCTGCCCTTGGGATGCACCCAGAGGCTACAGCTAGTCCAAAATGCAGCCGCGTTTGGGGCTTCTCGTTACTCCCGTGTGACACCTCTCCTGTGTGAGCTGCACTGGCTACCGGTGGTCCTTCTGGTCTGTTTCAAGGTGCTGGTGCTCACCTATAAAGCCCTACATGGCTTAGGCCCAGGGTACTTGCAGGATCATCTCCTGCCATTCTCCCATCGTCCCGTGCGCTCCCACAGAGCGGGCCTCCTCAGGGTGCCATCAGCCAGACAATGTTGGCTGGCGGTCCCCAGGGGGAGAGCGTTGTCTGTGGGAGCGCCAACCCTCTGGAACGGTTTGCCCACCAGGCTTAAGGCAGCCCCCGACCTCTCCTTCCACCGCGAACTGAAGACGTGGCTCTTTTATCAAATGGGCTGATCTGTTGGGGGATTTTTACATTGAAATAATTTTAATAAATTTTAATTGGATTTTAATTTTTATGTAATTTTCAAATTGTTGAATTGTTTTCTTTGTAAGCTGCCCTAAGTCCTTCGGGAGAAGGGCGGCATATAAATTACATAAATAAATAAAAATAAATAAATAAATATAGATATGCTATATACACATACATATACATAACATGCATATAATGATATATACATATACATATGTATATACCTATACCCTAACATATAAATACATATAAAATAGATATAAAGATTTCAATATAATGAATCTCAAAGCAATTATTACTAAAAATTAATGACGAGAGAAACTGAAGCCCAAAGTGAACCTCACAAAAGATACTTAAAGCAGGGGTGAAATCCAGCAGGTTTTGACAGATTCTGGAGAAACGGTAGTGGAAATTTTGAGTAATTCAGAGAACCAGTAGCGGAAATTTTGAGTAGTTCGGAGAACTGCCAAATACCACCTCTGGCTGGTCCCAGAGTGGGGAGAGAATGGAGATTTTGCAGTATCCTTCCCCTGCCATGCTCACCAAGCCATGCCCACCAAACCACACCATGCCCACCAAACCACACCCACAGAACTGGTAGTAAAAAAAATTGAATTTCACCACTGACTTAAAGCATCATGACAAATAATTGGGGGGAGGGGGGAAGATGGAAAAGAAGATGTCAGAAGAAGCCAGAGTGGCTGCCCCAAAAAGTTGAGTGAAAATCTGAAAATGGAAAGGGAGATAATGGAAGTGGAAAGAAGGTCAGTTCACTAAGGAAAACACATAATAATAATCCATATCAGAGGTGGGTTTCAGCAGGTTCTGACCAGTTCTGGAGAACCGGTAGCAGAAATTTTGAGTAGTTCGGAGAACTGGTAGTAAAAATTCTGACTGGCCCCACCCCCATCTATTCTCTGCCTCCCAAGTCCCAGTTGATTGGGAGGAAATGGGGATTTTACAGTATCCTTCCCCTGCCAGACCCACCAAGCCATGCCATGCCCACCAAGCCACACCCACAGAACCCACAGTAAAAAAATTTGAAACCCACCACTGATCCATATGTGTAGAACTAATGACATGAAAGCGAAAACTCAGAATGAGCAGAGATTGATGAAGGATAAGGCTAAGAACTACAAATAGGACCTATTTAAATGTCTTGGGAACATGCTAACAAATAACAAGAACAGGAAGAATTGCTCAATTACAAACTGATTCAGCCTTCTTTACAAAGGAAGTATTTTTTATTAACCATTGTTCTTTTCCTATTCAGGAACGGCGGTGGACGAAGCGGGATGTTTTGTGCCATAGGCATTGTAGTGGAAATGGTTAAAAGGCAAAACGTCATTGATGTTTTCCATGCAGTAAAAACTTTACGGAACAGTAAGCCTAACATGGTAGAAACGCCGGTAAGTTATGTTCTGCTGATAATCAGATAAACTTATATGAAAATCATATAAGTCATCTAAATAAAATCATTTTTTCCAAGACTCCAAGAAATACAGACTATGATCAATTAATTACCAACATACTGTATATCAAAATAATTAGAATACATCTAGAATGTAGTAATATTGATTTATAGCTGTAGACGTATTCCCATGCACCCAATGCATGCTGAAGGATAAAGTCTTTAGTCACCATTGAAAGATCTAGGCCTTTGATAAATCTGAGAGATGGTGGTTTCACAATAAACACTGGAAACATCTTTCTTTCTCTTTAACTTCCTGTCCCAGTTTGACTCATGAGGCAGAGTTTCAGGCAATTTTGTATTGCTGTCATCTCAATGCTAACTAAGAGGAGTGATTGGAGAAGATAATGTAGCTTGTAAAGTAGTGGATGAGCTTTGGGGTAGAAGGCATCAAACTGTTTCTTTTTAACAACATAGATGGTTTAAACAAGGGACCAGCCTGAAATGCTAATTTTTGTCAAGAAAATTCCAGAGAGTTCTGTGGAATTAAAATAGTTTGCTATCCAGGCAACCCACCATTTATCTATCTCTGCCAAATAAGGTACATAGAGAATTTCCAATCTTATAGGAGGCATCATCCAAAATGCATTAAAACTTTAAATGATTCAATTCAAAGAATCATTTGAATAATTTTAAAATTACTGCTTTTTAAAATTATATTTAATAAGGGAAATGAGAGTGAGTGAATGAGAGAGGTGATGGTTATGCAAAGCAGAATAAAAAGCTAGGTACATTATGGGATTTAGTCAAAGTAAATATTAAAAAAAATAAGAAAATGGTTAATTACCAAAAAAGAGACAAAAAGATCCATGTAATATTCATAGGTAACAATATAGAATTAATTAAATCCTCAAATTTATAATTAAATCTAGAATTGTAAATTTTTAAGATGCAGACACGTGTAGAAATCAAGGTTTTTCTGCATTGCATCAGAATAAAATAAGATGTTCCAAATGTTAATTTGGAAAAAACTGTAACCTATAAAAACATTTTAAATGGGAATGGGGAACTTAAAACAAGACAGGAATTACAAAACCAAGGGATGGATTTAGCTTGGTGGCTACATCTGCACATACAATTGAGATACGAGAAAGATGCAAAAACATGGGGTTTTTATAAAGAACCAACAATACTCAACAAGGTATTATTAGGGACAGATGAAAAATTGATAAGGAAAATATATAATTATTTACTGAATTTTAAAATAGAAGATGAACAAGTAAAGGAAACAACAATGGTATGGGGAAAAAACTTTGGCTATATGATAGAATTAGACAAATGGCAAAAACTTTGGGATAGAAACTATAAACTGCCAAAGGCTACAGCATATAAAGAAAATATTTACAAAATGTTTTATAGGTGGCATTTGTCACGGGTTAGGTTAGCAAAAATGTTTAACAACATGTCTGCCAAATATTAGAAATGTAATCAGACTCCAGTTACTTATTAGATGTGTTGGACAAGCAAATATTGTACAAAAATACATACATAGTTGGACAAGATGATAAAGCAACACATAGATTTTAAACCAGAAATATTTTTGTGAGGTATAATACCAGAAAATTATGGCAAAGGGACTATATATTTAATGTTACATGTATTGACAACAGTGAGAATAGTATTTGCACAATACTGAAAAAATGAGAACACCCCATTGGATGAAAATATAATCCGGAAGATATTGTACTGTGCAGAGATGGATAGATTGACATTGAAAATAAAAGATAAAGGAGACACAGAATACTATTTAACGTGGAATAAGTTTTATCAATGGTTAGAGATAAGAGGTAGAAATTAGATGAAGAAAGAGTATTGTTAGAGTTAAGTAAAGTATAAATATTGTTTATAATTATATATAAGTCAATATATTTAATAGGAACAAAAATAAGCGAATACGATTATAAATATGATTAGAAATTACTTTGTTTTTTATTATTGTTGTTGTTGTTGTTGTTATCAGTATATGTGTTATTTTTTTATTCTTTTCTCTCTTTCTTTTTTGTAAAATGGTATGCCCAGACATTACACTGTATTCAAAACACTTATATATAAATTTAAAAACTTGATAAAAAAAAGAGAGAATAAAATAAGATGCTTATTGCCAGTACTAATTTGAAACCTATGAATCTGTATGTAATCTGTGACTATTAAAGGCCATTTTTTAATTCTTTGAATTCAATTTCATAACAATTATTCAAATGTAAGATAAATCAATCTACACAGCCCAACGCTCAAATTATGGAAGCAAACCTAACTAAAAGCAATAGAAATTAGAATCCCATATCAACTCTAGTGCTTCTGATGTGGGATTTTTTTAAAACAACTGACATCCTGCAATCAGAAAAGGCATAAGTAGCATATTTGCCTAGTTGTTTTCCTAAAATATTACAGGATATAAAGTGAGAAAGAGTAAAGAATGGGAAGCAGGAAGGAAAATCAATAGGCATGAGGATGAAAAGGCAAAAAGAAAGGATAACTAGGGTCAAGTTTGGGGCAAGAGTGGGGATCTTATGGCCCTTGAACTCCTACCATTCTTGGCCAATTATGGCAAGAGTTATAGTCTAGGATAAATTTGTGGAATAACATGACACACCTCTTCTATGAAAAATAACTCCTTTTTCCTCTTTGGCTACCACCACCATAATTATTTATAAATCCTTTTTGCATCCTTTCCTTGGCAGAATATTCCCACTAGTAGATTTATGCACTGGTTTTGTTTTGTTATGCTAGACTGAAGGAGGGCAGTTCCACGGATCTGTACTTAGTATCTTCCCCACTTATAATTTAAAAGCACTTCAAAACACATACTTTATAATCAGTGTTGTTTATTTTAGTATTTCTAGCCTGCTATGATTTCTAACAGCTTTGATTATATGTAAAAGCACAAAGCAATGATGCTATTCTGTTACAGTCTGAGCAGCTGCCAAAGCGGGGTATTTTCAAGGTCATGCTTTATGTGGGCAAAATGCTTGATCACATCTCCAAAAGCTGTTAAGCTGGGAGAAGAAACCAGCCAAGGAAACCAGCCAAACATTCTCACCTGACCTCCATGCACCAAGTTAATCAGAGAGCTAGAGTGAAACAGCAGTAAATTATTTTAGATTTATTTATTTTTTTGCACTTCCTGTTAAGTGCTCTATGATGGTGGTTTTCTGCACCTGGAGGAAGGGTGGGTAACTTTTTTTTTTTTTTAAATCAGATAGAGAGTTGACATTTCTTTTCATCGCTCAGAATATTGTTCCTTCCAGATCATGGGCCTTGGTAAAAGATATATCTTTTACCTGGTTTGTGGGGGCATAAGCTTTGTATAAAATATACAAAAGTATGAAGGCTATTGCTTAACGCATTGTAAACCGCCCTGAGTCTCCGGAGAAGGGGGGCATATAAAAATAAATAAATAAATAAATAAAATATCTGTTAGGAAATACACATTTTCATAACCATATTATAAACCATATATTTGACTTATTCAACTTCCTTTTCTTTAAATAATTTTGTGGACTTACATTAGGTTTGCTAGACTTAGTTTTATGTCTCATTCAGTTTGATGTAATACCAGCTATAGTATTAAAAATTGAGGTTTGTCAGCTGATAAATGAATGTTAATAATTTTTTTTATTATTATTTTGAAAGAGCAGAACTATTCTTTGGTAGACAAATAACTAGCAATGAGTATCATAGTGAGATATGAAGCCATTGATAGCAAGGAATTCCAATTATTATTATTTTTTTAACAAAAATCATGAACAAATATAAAAACTTGGTGAGTTAAGAACAAAATATGCAATTAAGTCTATGGAGCAGTAATGATTCCTTCGTTTTCTTTCTTTCACAAATGCAATGTAACTTGTGTTTTTTGCTCTATTAGGAACAATATCGTTTCTGCTATGATGTCGCACTGGAGTACCTTGAATCATCTTAATATGAAAGGATAAATACAATCAAGTGAACCAAATAATATGAAATTTAATAAACTGTGTTTTGGCATCCGCTGTTGAATCTGTGAAGAAACGTTTTAGTGAAGGGGAGACTTAATTTTTAAATGCAAAAGTATTTTTCTTAATAAATGGTGTAAAGTATATATATATACATATATATATGAGAGAGAGAGAGAGAGAGACTGTTGTTCTGTCCCTGTAGACAAACTGAATATAGTGCCACAAAAATAAATTAAGAGTCAAGGCAGAGCACATCTGCTATTCAAAGTAAAACTTTCCAGTGTTTGCATATTCCGCTGTCTCTCAGATACATTAGTCCTGTCATCTCTTGCATGTATCTATTCTATTGAATGTTTTATTTCACAATTGTTCTTAATTTCATACTGTTAAAATTTTTTAAAAACACTGTGTACAGATTGATAATCTGTAGGTTTTATGTGCTGCAAGAATATATATCAAGAGAGTACAGCCACACATCCCACAAACATTTTTTTAAAAAATGACTTATTTTACTGTGCAATGACAGTCTGATCAAAGTTCTTTATAAAGAAATTCAAACATAAAGCCAAAGACTCAAGTGTAAATATGTTTATATAGGAAAGAAAGCACATTGTATTTATTGTTTACTGACATTCCTTTTTGATGGTTGGACAGAACCATTTTTTTTTCTTAGAAACATTGTTGCTGAAATCAAGTGTAAATGATTTTTTGTAGATTATTTTTTGTATGTATTGTGTAAGTAGAAGGAGAGAGAATGAAAAGATCTTTTATGGATAAGCCAGAAAACATTGATATACTTTTTTGGTCGGTGTGTGTACACGCTTATGAATGAAATTCATGTATTGTAAACAAGAAAAAGAAACCAAACATAAAACTTCTTTCTCAAACTATATAGAGGTGGGTTGTTTTTTTGTTTTTGTTTTTTTCAGTTTATAGTAATAACAAATCAGATAGAAACTGCACATATATATAACTTTGGGAGTTTCGTTAATTTTTTTAAGGAGTAAGTGGGTTAATAATGAATGCTTGACACACAGAGCAAATACGAAAATAAATAAAAATGCAAGTTAATAACATTTATTTTAATGTTTACAGTTGAGGCACAAGTTCTAGGCCACCACACTAATGCATTCTTCCCTTCTGCAATGCTGAAGGAATCTTCTGATCCTCATTTGTGACTTCCCGGCTGAGCCAAGAAATCAGCTTTGGTCCAAGGCTTCAAAGAAGCTCCAGCTTTTCTCCCAGTGGTAGTCTAGATTTGTGGAAATGGTAGCTTTGTGTTCTGACAAAGCCAAAATGGATTGAATCAATTCAAGAGTTAGGTGATAGCTTTGGTATGTTTTTTACTTTGCTCTTCATATGCACATTCATAAGCCTGGACATATTTTCATAATGGGGAAAAAAAAACATTTACTGTGTCCTGTTGATTTTTTTTATCAAGAGTAAATGATAAGGTGCTGATGAATATTCATGTAAAATAAGAGTGAATTAAAGAAGTTTTATAAAATATTAAGTTCATGTGTCCTATTTTGATTACACTTATTCCTTTATGGGGGAAAAAACACACACACTATATAGTTCCCTTGTGCAAGATAATTCATCTCAAACGAATAAAAAAAAACTTGGTGGAAACTAGCCCAAGATCCACAACTGTTTTTATACACTGATACAAAAGTCTCTGGGAAGCCAAATATAAAAGAATGCATGGTGTGTTAAATATAAAGGTCTTAAAGGGAAGTTTTTCATGAAACAGGATTACAGTATTATTCTACCATATCTATTTAAGGATCTTTGAAGCTACTAGTGACTTTGGAGCTGGGCATCTGGAGGGTGGCCCTACACACAGGGAGAAATTAGCTTGGTATAATAGACCCTAAACTCCTGAGGTAATGTAGTGCCTCATTTGGGCCTCCTGCTCCTACCAGAGCCAGTTCAGGACATGTTACCTTGCACCAGGCTTGGGGTCACCCCCAACTTTCTGGGAGGACCATCAGGATCAAGGCCTACTTCCTTGCCACTAGGACCAATGTGGCTCCTTCCTATATCTTTTAAGTGCTGCTTTGCATTCAAGTATGGCAAGCTAAGGGAAGGAAGCATTCCTAATTCCTCATTTTTTAAAAATAATAAAAAAAAGGCAAAAACTAACACAACAATAACTTAAATACAGTAGTGACTGAGATGGCTAGCTGATTGGCTTCAGAAACCTCCCAGAACTCCATTTTGTTCGTGCCTATCAGAAACCGAAGTCCTTATTCAGTGGCAGATTGGGAAAGTCCAGCAGCAGGAAGTGCATTTTAAGGAAGAACTTGTTCCTCCAAATCAGTATTCAGGTATGAAAAGTGGGGTGTCATCAACTTCCTTAAACCCAGTCTATGGCTCTATATACCTGCGTCTGGGATAATCAGTACTGACATCGATGGGCAGAGACAATTAAGTCTCTTGTCTTTGCTTTCCCCATCAAAATATAATGTTGCTAATAAAATAATCCAACAGATATGGTAGAATACTACTGTAATCCTGTTTCATGAAAAACATCCATGCTTCTGATTCAGGTTCAAGATGCACAGTTTCCCAAGCCCACTGAGATATATGTATTCTTTCTGCATGCATATGTCTCACAGTTGGAATGAAAAAATAAGTTGCAAAAAATATCTCTTTAAAAACAAAATCAATTATTATATCTACAATATTTTTTTTAAAAGTTAAGGTGAAAATACTATAATAAAGTAACGAAAGCTGTTTAGATGGAATATACTATCATCACATACAGTAATACAAACTTACACGATGTTGAATTCACTAAGCTAATTTAAACAACCAGCCTTGTGTGGCATCTTTCCCTAGATTTTTCTTTTGTTGCCCATGTGGAATTTCAAATAAATTACCGTTGTTAATGATCTGATATGCCATAATATTAAGCTAATGGACTGTGTGCAGCTTAGTAGATGTGTTAAAATCTCTAAAAATAGCACTAAGTAACTATGGTACTGAATAGCTCTTGTGGAATCTGCAGCTCCAAAAAAAAAGAAAGAAAGAAAGAAAGAAAAAGGATTCCTGGTTAAGGAATCATCAAATCATCAATTGATCCATACTTTGAATTCTTATAGAAGTCAACTAAAACGTCATGGGCGGCTCCATAAATGGCACACCAATTCATTTTCATTACTTGCAGTATAACTAAATGGCATCCCCACACTTACCATTTACATTGATCCTCTTGTGTGCTCATGCTGGCTTGCCTCTGAAACAGTTGAAGGCAGTCCTGTCTGAACTGAAATACTTGGGCAAGGACATCAAAGGGATTTACTCAGCTTCTGGCTACTACTTCCTTTCCTTTGTTGTGGCCCTCCAGTCTTGGTCTCCCAGGAAAATAGCCCATTGCTATATGTCTTCTGGGACATATATGTTTTTGTATGTGAAGCACATACATACACTTAAATGGAATGTATATCTATATAAAGTTAACACATGAAAATGCATTACATGCAGATACAGCGAGAGTAAAAATTCCTTACTTACCACTATGCTTTTTATTTGCTTTTTAGTATTTTCCTAACCATAAGTACTAAAAGAATGTAAATTTTGGTTTGGTTCCTCTTCTGAAATGCAGCAGAATGCTTTTAAAAAATTACTTCCCCTGAGCTTCCTTTTTAAAAAAAAAAATTAAAAAAAAAACAGTAATAGCAGACAATACAAACTTAACTCAAGAAGGAAAGAAAAGGAGAGATCAGAAAGTGCAGGAAAAGAAAAACAAAGGAAAATATTTAAAGAACTTATTCCTTATTTTCATCACAACTAGAAACAAACTTAGAATTCTTGGCCTCCTATAAGGTTACATGCAAGTACCTCTTTGTCCCGTATCTTATCCACACACAAATCTATAAATACATTTCAGCATTGGTATCAGCAAAAGCCACAAAGGGTTTCCAGAATTTTATAAAAACGTGATTTATGTTAACTTTGGTCAAACAAGCCAACTTTGCACTCCTTTTGCTTCTAGGAATTTTAATAGTTAATTCAGATGTTGTTATAGGCTTTGATTTCTCTTCAGATTTTCTTTTTCCTATCTTATAAGTCTTCTTCAAGGCTTTAACAAACCTCTTTTGTAGATCCAATAAGGAATCATTGTCCAGGTCATTCTCTTGATTTGTCATTTGTATTTCTACTTTAACTGTCATCTTTCTCATAATCCAAGGTTTTTCATTTTCCAGTATTTCAACAATTTCTTTATATTCTAGTTTTCTGCATAAGGCTTGTTTCAGCATAAAGTACTCTCTTTCACCTATGACATTTCTTTTAAAATATCATTTGGACATAGTTTATCCATGGATACAGAACATTGCTGTCATTGTACATGCTAGTTTCTGTCCCCTTTCTTCAAATAACTCCTGTATTTCAACTATCAAATCACTTTGTGTCATTTTCTCCCAGTGTTGACCAAAGACAAAATACTTTCTTTCTTTCTTTCTTTCTTTCTTTCTTTCTTTCTTTCTTTCTTTCTTTCTTTCTTTCTTTCTTTCTTTCTCTCTCTCTCTCTCTCTCTCTCTCTCTCTCTTTCTTTCTTTCTTTCTTTCTTTCTTTCTTTCTTTTGCCTGAAATCTTTAGTCCCCTCTAATGATTAATTTCTGAAATCATAAAGTCTTGAATTTTTGTTATGATTTAAGGTAAACTAAACAATTCAATTTATGTGAAGAAGCTGTTTATTTATAACCAAATTACCACTTTGTGAAAATACTGCAGGTCCATCAAAGGTTTACTTTGAGAGGAAAATTACTTTGTGCTTCAGATTATAGCAAAAGTGTTTTGAAATGTATTTGGCTTATCTTTATTGCATTTAAGAGATCTGAAGATGCACACAAGAGCCTTTATTGAAATAACATTACAGATCAGACCCTCCTTGGTAATATATTTTTAAAGAGGCCAGAACAATTCTTGGGTGTCTTGAAAGAAATGCCCCTGAAGTCTTTTATATGGAAACTCTGCTAAAAGGAAAAGACAGTGAATTCATTTACATTCATTTGTTCAAGACTGATCTTCCCAGTGGTATTTATCCAATCACTTTACTTAATTGTTTCTGATGGTTTGCCTATCAACTCAACAACCCTTTCCATGTGGGAAAGCAAATAGCTTGATATTTCTCGGCAGCAAAGTATTTTTATGATATTTAAAAAAGAAATCTAGTTATTTCTTTTAGTTTCCCAAGATGCAAGAAGAAATTAACAGATTAACAGAGTTGGAAGGGACCTTATAGGTCATCTAGTCCAACCCCCCGCTCAAGCAGGAGACCCTATACCATTTCTGACAAATGGCAGTCCAGTCTTTTCTTGAAAATCTCAAGTGATGAACCTCCCACAACTTCCAAAGGCAAGCTATTCCATTGGTTGATCGTTCTCACTGTCAGAAAGTCCTCCCTCATTTCTAGGTTGAATCTCTCCTTGGTCAGTTTCCATCCATTATTCCTTGTCTGGCCTTCAAGTGCTTTGGAAAACAGCTTGACCCTCTCCTCCTTGTGACAGCCCCCTAAATATTGGAACACTGCTATCATGTCTCCCCTGGTCCTTTAGTCTCCAGTCCCCTAATAATCCTGGTTGCTCTCCTCTGCACTTTTTCTAGAGACTCAACATTTTTTTAATAGTGTGGTGACCAAAACTGGATGCAGTACTCTAGGTGTAATAATTCTGGAAGATCCAATCTGGGTCAGTCACTGGCAGCAGAGATTTAGTCTTCCAAGCTTTTGGACATGTGCAGGAGCCCATACTCAGGGAACTTCTCTCTACTGGAATGTGTGTTTTGGATCATATTTATGTGCTGCTTTCTATTGGTTGATTAGGGGTGAGGACTTGGCAGCACAAGGAAGAAACAGTCAATCGCCAGCCATCAACACACTAATCAACCAATAGAAAGGCCTCACATAAATATGACTTAAAGCTCACATTCCGGTAGAGAGAAGTTCCTTGAGGATGGGCACAAGTCTGAAAACTCAGAAGACTAAACTTCTGGTTCCGGTGACTGACCCAGCTTGGATCGTACAACATTATCCTGGGACATGTATATTTGCCTTCATTCATGAGAAATAATTCTGATTTTCTGGCACTTTACTTAGGATTCACTCTTACTACACAGATAAGGATAAACTTTTAAGAAGTGAGAATTTCCTCCAATGTAGGGTTAGCAATTTGCCAGTGATATACAGGACTACATTCTATGATATAAGATCATTCATGTTAACGTGTGGGATTTTAATTTCACACAGAGTCATTACTCTAGAACATTTTCTTACAGTAGATTTAAATACAGAGCTAGATGACGATGTGACCAAAGTAAACCAGTGAAATTATTATCATGCTCAAAGTAGGAAAAATAGTATGGGCTGAACTTTGTACTTTTTTATATTACATTCTCTGCAACTTAGCAGCATTATGGAGAAAGAATTGGTAAACCAATTCTTTTATTTTTTAAAAAGAGTTTTATTTTTTTTTAAAAAAAATGATGTTGGACTAGTAAAACAATAGT